AATTTGCTGTAATTGAGAATTATATTTATATAAAAACCTAAACTAGCTGGGCTGTTCGTCATTCTGACTTATTAAGACTTAAACGTAAATGACTCATTAAGGCTAAGTTAGAACATAAATGATAGCCACATATTTCTGTCATTTGAGTCAGGTCCAGTATAGATTTCGTTTTTGCTCGGGTTCGCAACTCGCTCACTTGATCAGATGCCAAGAGAGGAACTGCTATGGCTTAGGAACTGCTATGGCTTAGTGCTCTTATTAATTCCTAAAGTTCATTTAAATGTATGTGTCTGCACAAAAACAATGCGCACAAATTGAGATTTTTTTCAATTTCGGTCGCATTTCTGCACTCTTGCGAACTTGTTGCATTTTAGCTCGTTATTAATAGGAAACATATATAGGATTTTTTGAAAAATTTTATAGACACTTAAGTATATTATATATATGTATATATATTCAATATTATATTTGACTTTAATATCACGGCCAACTAAAGAGCCACCTCATCGCTGCATAGTTGGTGCTGCAGCGGAATTTCGACCTTGTAAACGTTCTAAAAAGTAAATATAAAATGAATTCATGCTCATAAAGATGAGTTTCTATACCCACCGTTGGCTTGTGTGAATCAAACTTAAAGTACTTTCGAATGCAAGGTGTAAGCAGTACAGGATCAACTTTGTTGGGATTGTTAGTGCCAAAGACTAGGGTGCTAAGCAGTGCAATGATTACAGTAACTGAGGCGCCCAAGGTCGTATACCACATATATGATATCCGATACAATGGGAAAATATCCCTAAAATATACCAAGCATAACAAGTAGTATAGTATAATATCAATGATGGCCAGTTAGGCTGCACTTACTCCGCTGATGGCCCATTCATATGGGTGGCATTGGCGGCGCTGGACACCAGAGCAGCTGCATCGAAACTGTAGCTGCACTGTTCAACGTTTAATGGTTTGGTTTGATAACGAATGGCGCCCGATGCGATGGCCCATTGTGCATTCAAGCTTACCCAAGACATTACAAAGACGCCCACACAGCCGCCGAGCATTGCGCTCTAGGGAAATCAAATTTCTTGAAAGGATGTTAAGGCATTGTGAAACATTTGAGACTCACATTGCCATTAATCCAGGGCATAATTAAACCCATGGTGAAGATGCCAAAGAGTGGCCCATTTGTGATTGACTCTAGGCTCATGGTCAGCTGCAGCACAGTACCCATATGCTCCACAACATAAACTAGTGCCACGCAAAGCACTCCTATGCCCACTACGACCAGACGCATGATCCAATTGGTGGCCCGATTTGTTAGCGGTTTCTTAACATACGGCTTCACAAAATCTTCCAATACCACAGCGGACATTGAGTTCAGACAGGTTGAGAGTGAGCTTAGAGCAGCGCTAAAGACGCCAGAAATAAATAGACCCGTCATTCCAGGCAGCTCGCCCAGCGTGTCCATGACAAAAAGCGGCAAAAGCTGATCCCGTGCCTTCGCCAACTGTTGATGCAGTTAAATGGTATTATAAATAAAAACTATTTCCTGACTCATTTGCATACATACCTTAGTAGTTAGTGGATCACAATTTTGATATGTCGCATAGATGAGCAGTCCATTGTAGCCACACAAGGCCATCAGAATCAAAACTCCGGTACAAAATATGACCAAAGCCTTGCGGGCATCCGCCAACGTGGGCAGCGATAGATAGCGCTGTATCATGTTCTGGGAAACTGCATTGGTCTGCGTCCAGTAGACAATGCCTCCAAGGAAGAGGCACCAAAATGTGTGACGTACTGTGGGATCAATACTAAGGCTACAAGAGCATGCGAAACACTTTAATGTTTAATTGGAAACATTTGTGTACCCACATTGAAATAATAATAGCTTGTCATGAAACTGTAACGCATAGAGGCACTTAATTAATCTTGATCGGCATCAACAGCTGTGTCGGTCCTGACTTTAACTTGATTGATGCAGCTTACAAATAAGCAATATATCAACATTAGATTACTATATAGAAAAATTGTCTTTTTTCAAGATCTCATGACTGAGCCCAGCAATTACACGCGTTACCATACAAGCGATATGTCTACTAGGGTATTAGCTCTTCGGCGTGCCGAGAGTAGCCATTCAACTCACTCGGGTGCCTCCAATCTGTTCGATTGCCAAGCACGTTCCAGTACCACACTAGCGCCGCCAATATCCAAGCTGCCCTTTATAGCGACCAAAGCTAGGGCGCCCAACATGGATACTGCCTGCACCACATCCGTCCAGACGACGGCCTTAAGGCCGCCCATGCTTGTATAGAACACGCAAATGATGCATACAATCGGCGTAATGGTGTGCACACCTACTCCAGTTACCTGGTTGAAGGCAAGTGCCGGCACATAGATCACAATGGGCAGATAGGCTACCTATAGATAATAATTTAAATGAGACTTGGTGCATAATACTAGTAGAGTACTTGCAATGCTTACATTCATAATGGCAAACATTATGGAACCAAAAAGGCGCAGTCGACGATCAAAGCGAACCTCCAAATACTATAAGAAAAGAGTATTTTTTTGTGATTCTAGAATTAATTAATTATCTTTGCTATATAAATATACATATTTACTTGATGTTAACTAAGCACCTTAAAAATTATTTATTAATTGTTAGCAAAATAGCAAACACTTCAAATTTAGGGAAGCGTTCTCTAGACGAAACTGCACAGCTTGGAAATACCCTGTACTGTAACATTCAGTGGTACAGACTTACTAAGCTTCTTAAGAAATGCTAAATTAATTCCACAATCAACAGATTAAAGATGTATACTTAGGCCTATATCTCAAAATTTGTTATTTCAATTTTAGAAGGAACAGGGGAGCTTTTGCTTGAGATACGCATAATACATGCCAAATTTGATGTTCTAAGTAAGGCTTTAATTACTCAACATTATTAAGTTTAGTCTCTAACTTATTAGTCCATGAGATTATGATATATTTGAATTATATTTTTACCCATGCGAAGTTTATATATTAAAAATAGTTTTAAAAGAGTTTTGCGAAGTTAAATTTAAGTGAAAAAACGAAACTATCTATACACATAAGAAATACTATCAAAAATATATAGGATTGTTTACAACAACATTTTTAAACGGCAAAACTCTCTTTAATTCATTCACGTTGTTGAGTTTTAGTTTAATGTGCTTACCTCATAGGTGGACGTAATGTTAAGATCATGAAAAACGGGCAAATAAAAGACTCCCATCACAACTCCCATGCCTATGACTCCAAGGGATACATATAGATACTGTATACCATACGAGTACACTTCGGTGGGTAGTCCAAGTAATGTAATGCCAGAAATAAAGCTGGCCACCAGTGAGAACGCAACGGGCACCACCAGCATTTTGCGGCCTCCCAGCATGTAATCATCCTCGGAGACGGATTTGTTCATGAAACCAAAGTAGATGCCAATGCCAATGCAGAGTAGAAACATGGCCACAAACGCAACATAGTCGGGCCATGCAAATCGCTGCAGCACTCCCAGAACGTCGTCGATATTATTCATTTTCCAAGTTCCGATCAGGGGTTTTAGCTCTCTGCGGTCACAGCGTGGACTAAGGCGCGTTTACATCTGTCCGTGACTCACTGAATCAGTGGGTTCCATTCGCTGTGCTGGGCGCTAGTCGGCTCTGTGATTCAATCCAATTTCGCTCAATTGTCAATTGTCGGGCAATTTAGGTTTCGGGCAGCACTCAAAATCCACACACATGGGTTTATTTTAGTTAATCAGTTCCCGTGCTTTACTTAGAGAGAATTGCGACACTTCAGCGTCCAGTTGCAACATATTCATAGTTGTGACCTTACATATAAAGTGATTTTGGGGCCTGTCTATATCTGGATAAAATTGTTGACCCCCAAAACGCACAAGAAATTTGCATAATTTTTATTTCTCGCTTGCCAAACAATGACCAGCTACTAGTACTAAATGTGTATTATTTATATTAAATTATGGAAAAGTTTTCATTTTATAAAGCTAATGGATGTGAGAAATAAGATGGCATGTCGTTGTACTAGTTCTTTATTTTATATAGCTTGTAAGAACTTGGGATGGATACCAATTTCCTACGTAATAAAAACAAAAAATTATTTGGCACAAAAACTAGATAACCTCAGACAAAAAAGGAATGCTTAGGTCAATCAATTTAATCGTAGCAAGTAAGTGTGCTCTCGTCGACAGTCCGACTAGAAATTACCCTGTACCCAGCGCCGAGATGGCGTCACAAACTTTGAGAACTTTATTTAAAATACATCCACAACATCACACACACACACACACACACACACACACACACACACCCGGCACAGCCCCACCGAATGGAAAATGCATTTGTAGCTTACTTTGGTGATTACAGACCGAGCTTCATGAAAATTTCAGGCTTGAATATGGAGTCCCAATATGTGTCTATACCAAAGGCCAAGATTATGCATACAGGCTTTATTTTTTCATTTTTCAAAATCTCTTGTCTCCCATCTTCTGCGTTAGCTTAAAAAAGATATGGCTAATTCGAGTCGACTATTAATGCTGACCAAAAATTGATTTACTTTGTAGGGTCGAATATGCTTCCGTTTACCTGTTACATGCATAAGCACAAAACTATTAAGCCCATTTGTAATGGGTACAGGGTATACAATTCAAATTATAACCTCTCTGGTATTATTGAAAAATGAACAACAGTGCTATTAGTGGTTAATTTTTAATTTGAATTCGTTTAATATTTGAAGGAAGAAAAATGTGATTAAGACTATATATGATTGATATTTTTAAACCAGAAATGGCTTGGCAGTGTCGGGAACAATTTAATACATAATATCATTTAAACCTTACATTTTTAACCTTACAGAATTGACACGGTTAACAGAATTTACTTTCTTACTTAACGGAATTAATTTCCCAATCCCACATAATATATTATCGGCAGATACTTCCGCATGCAATTTATCGACGACTTATCAGTTTGCCGCCACAAGATTAACAGCGTTGCGGTGTACAAATTGTAATTTGTTGTTTAAATTATTCAAGCAATATATTAATTGCCAATAATGTTAGCAAATCCTGCATCTGGCAGCGTGCCCGACAAGGCGTGGCAGCCTCCTTTCGTGACGCTGGAAACAACGTGAGTATTCGTGGACAATAAGTGACAACGTTTATGCTGCATGCATTGCTTTCCTTTCCCTTAGTATGGGCGAAATTACTGTGGAGCTGTACTGGAAACACGCACCGAATACTGTACGTACCCTATAGGGGCACCACTTATTGATTAAATGTTAATGGTTTGCCACGGCTTTAGTGTTATAACTTTGCGGAGCTGTCCCGACGCGGCTACTATAACAACGTGGTGTTCCATCGCATTATACGTGACTTCATGATACAAGGCGGTGATCCCACAGGAACTGGCCGTGGTGGCACGTCTGTTTACGGCGGAGAGTTTGCGGACGAGCTGCACAGTGACCTAAAGCACACTGGTGCCGGTATTCTGTCAATGGCCAACTCTGGCCCAGACACCAACGGCTCACAGTTCTTTATTACGCTGGCTCCCACTCAGTGGCTGGACAACAAGCACACCATTTTTGGACGCGTGTACACTGGAATGGAGGTAGTGAAGCGGATTGGTATGGTGGAAACGGATAAGAATGATCGACCGGTCGACCCGTTACGAATTATTAAAGCCAAAGTAGAGAAACTGTAAACACAATAGCAAATTTTTAATAAATATTTAATAAGGACATTAAAATAACAAAAATGTTGATAACCGTCGACTCGTTATATCAACAAGGCTAATTTATATTAATTTAACTGTCTTGTAGCTCATTCTTCAGTATCCACGTGGCTGCGCGCATAGCAATAGCTGTAATAACAGTATTGGGATTGCCGGAAATGGGTCGGGGCAATACACTGGCATCGACAACACGCACATTTGCAAGGCCATATAATCTGTAATTGGAGTTAAACATAAATGTCCGTGGCGTTTGTTCAACAATTATACAAAACATTACTTAAGCTGAGAGTCGACAACGCTACCCAAAGCACAACTGCCGCCTGGATGATGTGATCCCAGACCTATGTGACGCATAAGACACTCCAGATAATTATCCGAGGGCTGCTGTTTCACAAAATCTCTTTCAAATGGTCCGAAATTGGCGCATTCCTGCAGCTTGGGCCAATGAATACGCGGTCTTAATTCAGCAAAAGCGGAGGATGTGACAACCTTTAGGAATGTATATATAAGTAGGTTTACACATTCAAATGCTTGGAACTTTAAAGCAACTTGTTACCTTTACAGCATTTCTTATGGCCGCAATGGTGCAGGCCACATCCTGCTTGTTGCTTAAATAGTTCGGATCAATAAGGGGATTTCTGCGCATAGACTTGTGCTGCAGTGAAACAAACCCTCTAGATTTTGGCTGTAAGCAGCTGGATATGAAAATAAAACCCTCCTGTGAAGCATTATGATAGCGTGGAAAAAGTGCACGAAATGCCGAACGTTTGAAGTTGGAAATAGACATGAAGGCACTTTCATCTATGGCGCCGGCGCCAAAGAACGTGATACCGAAGGGTGTCTGTTCCTCATAGCCAGCCACATGTCCGAGAACTCCAAAGTTTCCGAAGGCTCCAGAGCCGGTACTTAAATATTTAAACAGATTCATAGGACTAAGCAACATACGCTGGTTAAGAGTAGGTCCGATGGTATCTATTGAGACAAATAGTGGCACATTAAAGTGATCATGCAGGCCCTGACCCACCAGTGGCAAATGATGTTGCACTTGCAGACCCAGCTGGGTTAATTTTGTGCTGTCACCGATTCCGGAGGCTAAAAGCAGTTGCGGAGTTTGATAGGCGCCTGCACAGAGCAACAATTCACGTCGCACTTTAATATGGAACTCCAACTCCTTGCTGTGCTCGTCTTTGACACCTACCACAACAGAGCTGGCTTTTGGATTGGATGTTGAAGACAGCTTAATGCCTTTTACCAGAGCCTGAGGCAGTAGACGAAGATTCACGCTGTTGAGTACAGGCAACAGGAATTGCTGCAGCACAGAGTGCCGCAGTCCGTTCTTTATGTTATAAACAGAGCGCCGAAAATGCCAGGGCTTATGCGAAAATTCTGCTTCAGATTCGTCCAGCGCTTGCGTTAACGTGGAATAGCTACGTGGCACTTCAAAAAGATCCCCTGGCTTGGGCTTTGCAGCAGCCAAAAAAGGACGTATGTCGGTCCAGCTCCAATTGCTTAGGTTGTGCAGCTTGTGCCAGGCGTCAAAGTCAGGACCATGTCCATCAAAATGCAACATATAGTTTAGATTAGCCGATCCACCCAGCCCCTTGCCGCGAGGCAGACACTGACGCTGCTCGATCAGACCCTTTGACGAGTGCTTCTGGGGGACCGACAGAAACGACCAGTCATTGGTGCCCTTTTGTTGAAATGTTGTCAGTAGTGGTATTCGACTAAGGAAGCCAAATGAGCCGCCGGCCTCAATCAGCAACACGCTGCCATTGCTGTGTTTCGTCAGTAGAGATGTAAGCGTGGAACCAGCTGTCCCGGCACCCACTAGAAAGTTCAAATTCCACATTCAATCTACTGGGCTTGTGAGACAACAACTTACCAATCACATAATCGAACTCAAACTCTTTATCCTCAAGTAACAACACATTGGAAATATTTTCCCCAAGCAATTTGCAAACAATAATCAGCAATGTCGAGAAGCAACCAATAACAATGGCGCCAACACAGATTACCTCTATAATAAGAGTTTATTATTCACAAAAAAACTAAACAAAAGTATCAATTTACTTTGAAAATGCATTCCCATATCGTGGCAGCCCTCTGATCTGACGAAATACAACTATTTAGTTAGAAAGAACAACAAACAAAGTAAACCGTAAACGACATAATCCAATTATAGGCCCACTGGCCGCACCTGAGGGGAAAAGGCCAAAAATTTGAATACAAGCGCGGGAATTGCACCTTGTGCTGCTATATGTGCTATCGATAAGTGATTGGGACACTCCACCATCTGTTATTAGATGCCTTATCGATAAGTTGGCTGGTATATTTTGGCGGTCAAAAACAACAAACATACAAGATTATTTTAAATGTGTAGGGATATGGAAAATAACAGCAATTAAAGTTAATATCAAGAAACATTAACTTGAAATAATGGCCTCTGAAGAGTTGAACTATAAATAGTTATTAAATTCAAAAAAAAGTAAATGTATTGTCAAATTGCGGCACACGCATTTTGTGTGAATGTCAAAATGTTGCTAGAATGTGTTAATGGCAATAAAGTTGTTCAATGGTCATAATAGTTGTTGTTTTTGCTTGAATGTAATACATATTGAGCTGTTTATCGCTCGCCATTGTTATTGAGCACTCTAAGCAGCGCTTTATTGGATCTGCCCAACTCTGACTACGGTAGTAATATGCAGGCGTCGCTTATCACTTGTTGTACCGCCAGTGAAATTCGCAGTTGCGCCCTCAACAACATCAGCAACAACAAGGGGACAGCTGTAAAGAAAACAAAAGTGGCTCGCCGTACAATAGGCAAATGTAATCAGCGAATGATTTACAGTCAGAGGCACTTAGAAGCTTAAAGTCGTCAGTCGCCAGTGTGCAATGAACTCCGCTTGACGCAGAGCCGCAAATACACAATATCAGCAAAACCAATCAACAGGTGTCCGAATCGAGAGCTCCACAATGGCAATCCAGCAGCAGCAGAAACAGGCACTGCAACGGCTTTTGGACTTAATACCCAGCGAAGAGGAAAAAGTTGTGCAGGTAAAAACGGGCATAACAATATTTTATTTGGTATATGTATTTAGCTTATAAGCTGACCAGCTCAAGGTGAATTTTGTTTATTTTTTTATAAATACCAGCTGGCATTTATAAGCCTTGCCTGGTAAATTGTGTTTGAAGCTAATTGGATGGTATGAAAAAAGTTGCACACTGATCAAGATCAAGATACAATTATGGGTATTGGGCTGAACGCTTATTATTTTTTAAGTCATATATATATATAGTCAGTCAGTCAATATATATAGTCAGTCAGTAGATAATACCAAGAAACTGAAATTTATAAACACCCAAAAAAAAAAACCATCAAGATTTCTGTATAACTATTTTATTAACCTCCTTTGTTATCGACTCTAGCATTGCAAGCGCCTTGTTGTCCCCCTTTCGAAGCCTTAAATTGTCGAATTGAAAGCGTTGAGCAATGAAAAAGTACAGTTTGCATTTCAGAGACCATTTTCTGTATTTTATTAATTTATTTTAATTATTTACTCTTATTGTAGTCGTTTATCCAATGTCTGGGTGGAAGCGGCGCTCAGTCACATAAGGAGCGCTTGCAGGCGCTGCTAATTTCCACGCCCTATCCGACGCTGCAAATACTCCAATTGCTATATGACCAGTCCAAGTTCTATATAGGACGCATTATTAGCGCAGCACTTAAACAGATGCTAGATGATGACGCACACAGCGGCGCTTCAACTGCGACACGTTTCCTCAGCATGCTGGCAAACTTTCCACAGCATATATTGGAGACGGAAACAGTGCAGCAAAGGCTGCTTGAGCGTCTACTAAGTGATTCATGGGGCAACAATGAGCATTTAATGCTAGCACTACTGGCTCGCCAAGATCCACAGTTGCTAAACACGGTTTTGCATAAGCAACAGCAGCAGCTGGAATTGTTGTGCGGCAACGCAGCGCCCACAAATCAGCTGGTTCTGCACCTGGCTCTAAAGCAACGGGTGCACTTTATGCCCCGACTGTGTCAGCAGTTAAAGAACTTTGAGTGCATTCAGGATCGCACACTACGAAATAATTTACTCATACTGCGTCTGGCCAACGAGTTTGCATTGGGCACACAGACGCTGGACGAATTAGCTCAGCTGGACCAATTATTGGCCGGCTTTGATATAGCTGCAGTTTCCGCCGAGCTGCAGTCTGTGCAACAATTCTTCTTTGCCGACTTTCAGCGGCTTTGCGTGTTGCTTAAGTTTTTACAACAGCAGCGAGATGGGAATGCCTGCAAGACCATCAAAGTAAATGCACTGTTGCGTGCACCAGGTGTGCTTTCCTTGATCTATGAGCATGGCATTGAGTGTGACAAGGATCAGGTGATTCAACTTATTGAGGAAACCTACAAATGGCAACAGCAGACGCCAGCGCTTAGGTGCGTGCGTGCTGAGGAGCTGGTAACATGGAGTTACTACACAGCGCTGTGTCAAGTTTATAATGTGATATTGGAGCTGCACGATTCCACGGTAAGGGAGGAGCTGTTGTTACTCTCCGCTCAACTGCGTCAGCTACATGACCTGGGAACGCTCTGCTCACTGCTGGAGGATATTTTCCAACTTGTATTTCTGCGCTGGGAGCAGCTGCAAAATCTAAAGCAGTGTGGTGGAAATGCCGATATCGGCGATGAGGATGATGAAGACGATGAGCAGTATGTGGACGATGATGCCAAGCCTCCGCGTACGAACAATGCCACTACTGCGCCGAGACGTCGCTATGGCTTCATTTGTCGTGCTCGAGCTTTATATGCGCTATTTAGCTGCCTGAAAAGCTTTGTCACTAAGAAGCTACACACACAGGATTTCAAGTACGCAACCGAGGAGCAACAGCGCGCCTTTCATCGTCTGGTAGATGCGATCAGCGAGACGTTGTGGAAGTTTAGTGTTCTGCAAAAGATTGAGCAATCGCTAACGAAGGTAACACCAGCTTCAGCCTGCCGCTTGGAACCGGAGCAGATGCTGCAGCTGATACAAATGCATAGTCATGGGCGTGAGAAAGCCTCCAGCGATGATGAGAGTCGTGAGCGCTGCTTCCAGGCGTCCAGTATAACGCGACGCAAGGCACGCCGGCAACGCCGTGCGGCCAGTTTCAGTGGCGCGGTGGCTACCAGGTCGGCTGATGCGCCAACACTTGAACAGTGTCGCGCTCGTGCCCAGCAGCTGTTGCTAAGCGGCGGTGCAAGCAACAAGGAACCACAGATGACCGTGGCACAGTCCCTAGAACGCTCCATCATCCCCAAAATGCTAAGCACTCCCGAGCAGTTGGCCATTCTGGCGCTGGCGCTAAAGAACTTTAATGATGTCAAGTACATAATAGAGGTAAGCTCTTTGGGATAACCAAAGATATTCCATAACTAAACAATATTTGCTTGCTTTTAGACCTTTCACCTGGAGCAAAGTCAGCTGAGTCGCGAGCTGCAATTCATGGAGCATCAGCAGTTGATCAAGCAAAAGCTGGCCAACATCTATGCCAACTACGAAGCCTTGGCTGTTGAGGGCAAGTCCATGAGCAGCAGCGCCACAACCACCACCACAGTGGAGCAAATCAAAAGTGTTGCTGCTAAGGGCTTTGAGCTATCCAAGATAATCAGCGTGGTGGATAACTTTGCACAGTCGCAGAAGCTGCAACACGCCGCCGAACTGAAGGCACTGTTGCAACGGCACAGCGCCAATGCGCAGTATAGCTTCCTGCAGCAATTCCAGGAGCGCAATCTGAATGCGCTTATTGTCTGCGATTTGATTGTGAATCTACGTTTCAATCGAGAGATTACAAGCAATCTTTTACTGGTCATACGACGTCAACAGCAGCAGCAACCACAGCAGCAGCAACCAGCGCTCGACAGTTCAAGTGAAGGTAGTCCACGTGAGATTGGCCCCATGTACCTCTTAGAGAATCTCTGCGAGTGCATGCGTCTCCTGGAGCGCGCTGGCCGGCAAACAGCGCTAAGCGACATGCTGTGCCAGCATAGCTATGTTCTGAAGCCCGCATCACTGGCGCTGCAGCTGCAGCGGGAAGCCGCCTTTCAAACGCTCTACCAGAAATTGTCCTCTGACTATGCTCATTCCAGGGAGTTGCGTGCCCATGCGGCGCTCTTTCAGCAGCTGAAATCTCGGCATAATTACTATGCCCGCTTTTGTAGCTACGTGCAGCAACTGGCCCGTTTGCTGCAGCTGCGTGATCCAAATCTAGAGTATCACAACACGCAGCTGTTGCGACACGATCCCTACCAAGTCATTGGCGAGCTGATTTACGAGTGCGACATCACGCCGTTGGAAATTGAAGCGAATGTGTCTGCATTGCATCTGAATCTGGTGCATGTTATAGCGCTCAACATATGCCCACAGCTGGCGGATAGCGCTCGCAAACAGTCGCCGCGTTCGGTATCACCACAGAAACAGGAATCCATTCACAACTACATTGCGCAGCACAACCAGCTGCTGGCCCAATTGTTGCAGGCGGTGCAAATGTGCGATCTTTCAGTGATAAATGAATCCGAAACTAGCTTGAACTTTAACTGCCTGCGCCAATTGATGCAACTGCCCGAAATCACGACGCTTGCGCTTATGCATCAAGAAAATCCAGTTATGGCTGCTCTGCATGCCTACAAACTGGATAGTACTACGCTGGAGCATTTGGAGATCAACAAGGAGCTACAGTTACGCATTCTCCTGCTGGGCATTGGCGGACAGGTTGGTAAGTATAGAAAATAATAAGCATTATTTTTCTAATTATTGGGAGGAGACTCTAACAGCCTTTCTTATTCCCATTATTATTTATTACTATCTAAAAACTCATATAGAGCTAGGTGCTGCCCGAAGTTTCTTTTGCGGTAGAGGTGTTGGATTCCTTTAATCTCACATTATGTAACTACATAAAGTTATCTCTATATATGCACTTTTATTTAAGAGAGGGAAATTTTAAGTTTTGTCCGATCAGCTTCTAAATCAATTTCCAAGATATTTGTGAAAATCCTTGAGAGCTTTGCCCAATTTTTCCAAAATAGGAGAGATGTTGACTCCAACCTTTGGTTCTTTATTCAGTGGACTTAAAGCTCATTTCCAAATACATTTGTAAAATATAGCTTGAGAGTTGGATTTCAGGGTAGTATGGACATATTTAAAGTCCCAACGGGCGCGAAATGTGTCGAAGAATGATCTGTAAAATTAGAAGCAAAAAACAAGTATCAGATATTCAATCATAATGAATGCTTATTCTTTCTTTATGCAGAACCAGCCCAGCAGATGAAAGCCCGCATCGATCTTTTGATTAGTGAGTTGATTGCGGAGGATCCTAGGCACATACAACTGGCTGTGCATATGCATGACTTGGGCACACGGGCACAGCTGCTGCAGCAGCATATCACCAAAATATCAAGCAGTCAATTGGCAAAGGAGCTAATAGAGCGCACCTTGCAGCATCGGGCGGCGGCGCATGGTATTCCGCAAACACTGCGCACTCAATTGGAGCACACGCTTTCGGACATTAGGATCTATGCGAGAGTTTCAGCACTGCTGGAATTTGAAAGCTGGCCGCAGGCCTATGACTTTGGCCGTCAGACGCCGAATGTGATCTTCGAACAGTTGTTGCTGGGGCGACACTACGAGCTGTGTTGTGAATGGTGCCGCATGGTGCAGCTTACGGATTCAGCTGGACAGCAGCGTGTCTGCCTGCTGACATTACTGGATACGCTTCTGGAGTTGCGCGATGAAGATGAGGTGGATGTACACTTGTTGCACATTGCGGAGCTATTTCCAGTTACGGTGCTGGTCAACTTTTTGGACACACACAAAGATAAGATGCGTTCGCTGCCGCTGCTGCAATGGCTGCTGGACTATTTGGAGCGACATGCACGCGATCCGCGGCCCTACCTCAATTATCAACTGTCACTGGATCTGTTGCGGCAACTGTCTAACGATGAGCGTCTTCATTTCTGGCCACTCTTACGCTATCCCTTATTGATTGTGGAGCAGCTAGTCATGAATACACGCTTCGAGCTGCTCGCCAAACTGCTGGAGCCGGCGCGTGCAAAGCTGGAACAGCGTATGCCTCTAGGACCCTGTGACTACTGTTTTGACAAGCGTGGTCATGCCTACGATCTTCAGAGCAGCAGCAGTGGCGGTTGCGGGAAGAGCTCCGGCAAGCTGCGCTTTCAGCTGGGTCAGACCAGTTCGGAAGCATTTATTCTGCTCAACTTCAATTCGTATCAACAGGATCATGTTGTCAGCAACGAATGCCTGGATTTGTTGTTGCGCATATATGCCAGCAAGGCACTGGACTATCATATAGCCAATGTGCGCATTGGAGTCGCACCAGAGCCGGGCTCCTTGGGCACTGATGTTCAAAATTCACTGGACTCTCTGTGCGGCGCTTTTCAGGTGCCCAAACAGGCACCGACCCGCGAACAGTGGATGCCCGATGAGGAGGCAAGTCACTGCATGTGCTGTCGTCGTTCCGCCTTTACCATGCTAATGCGACGCCATCATTGTCGCCGCTGTGGTCGTGTCGTTTGCTCTGCCTGCTCTGCTCAGCGTATGGTAATTCCAGAGATTTACGGCGATGTCGAGGTACGTGTCTGCAATGATTGCTGCGCACCGGCCGCAGCAGAGAAACCCTTGAACGTCAACGAAAATTCTGCAGTCATTCCACGCTCTTCCTCGTCCTGTCCAACGGACGCCTATAAGTGGCGTCTTAGCGGCATCATCACTCATGACAAGTTGCTGCGCGAAGAATTCTGCTATGAGCATGCGCCCAGCGTGGCGCTCAGTCTATCCATATTGCGGCATCATTTGGACCAGAAACAATGCGTGGACCTCTTATTATTTCACTGTCGCAAGCTGGAGAAACTGATTGTGCCCAATCCAGAGGTGGACTACGAGCTTGTTGCCAAAATGATGAATTGTCTAGCATTGGCAGCTAAGGTAAGATGCAGCATATTTTAATTTGTATCATTTAGTTCATGTTTCTATTGCTTTTCTAGGTACGTGGCGCGCCGGCCGAATTTGAGACCATACGTGAACATTCTGAGATCATCATGGCGGTGGTACAGCAGGGCTGCGAGTCCCTGATACCAGCCGGACCACTGAACAATCATAGTCTACGTCAGTTGGCTGATGCGCTGGTCGAGGCGGAGCACTGGAAATTAGCACTGGAGGTGCACCTAAAGTGGGGCTACGCTACTACTGGTGTGATGGCGGCGCATGGCTTGGCCTGTTTGCGCGCCGGGTGCTACGATGCAGGTGAGCATTGGATATGCTATGGCAATGATTTAGCTATATATTTCGGTCAATCAACCAATATTCTTTGTAGCACGTGAGAAATTTGCGCATTGCATGACCCGTCTGTCCACTGAGGAACAAAACAGTTGCATATACAAAGACATTTTTGGAAAGGAAATAGTGTTGACAGAAGCGTCAAATAACCCACCCATACCCAAGAAACGGCCGCAGCGTGGACCTGCCTTGCTGCAGGAGATACTCCAGCTGATTGGAACACTGCCACAGACACACCCACAGCCAGAAACGCTGCAGCGGGCTTCGCTCATACGTAACTCGAATAGCTCGCTAGCATCGCTTTTCTCGCGGCGCCGGGAGCCGTACGTTGTACAGACGCCACTCCGGGAGCCAGCGCTAAACGTAATCAACGCGCTAGCCAATCTTAAATACATCTCCAAAGGTCAGTACGGTGAGCCGACTGTGCGCAGCGGCGCTGAGGATAATCGTCAGTCACGCACCTTTGAGGAATCTCTGCATTACGTGCTCACCTATGGTAGTCATGCCGACATACTGCAGTTTCTAATGCAGCGTGACGAAGTTCGCGCAGCGCTGCGTTACTGGCAGCATCAGCAACTAGTATCGGAACTCTTTATACAGCACATATTCCAAGTGTCATTGGCCGGGGGTCGATTACCGGCGCTGATCGGGGAACTGCAGCAACTGGATCCCGATTCGCAACTAAGTGCTTGGCGGGTGCCGCTGCTGCAAACGTGCCGGTATTTGGAGCAGCACCAGCAGCTCAATTCCCTTTATCAACTCCAGCTCCTGCTGAAGGATTATGTACGCGCGAGCATGACGTGCGTCAAGTTTTATCCACTGGACTGCGATAACTTTCAGAAGTTGCATGCAAATGCTCAACATTTAATTTCAGCACATATGCATTTGCAGGGTGAACTGGACTTGGCTCAGTGGGAGCATCTGCAGCGTGAACAGCAGCTGGCGGGCAGTAGACGTGCCAGCGCTGTCAGCTGTAATGTGGGCACCACTTGTTTTGCTATGCAATTGGATGCACGTTCTCTGAATGGTCACATCAATACAATACGTCGCCAAATGGAACTGGCAAAGTTTTTGGCACAGTGCGAACGGGAGCAGCCGCCAGAAGTTGGAGGATTGGTGTGCACGCTACAAATCCTCAAACAGATTCGACTCGAGGCTCCGCGCGGCACTTTGCCAACATTGTTTGACGGCGTTGCAGACAAGATTCAGCTGTGCATGTTGGTGTTGTTGTGCGGCAAGAATATAGACGAGGGTTTTGGCTTGGCCTACGGGTATGTTAAGAGTTTTTCGTCTATCCCATCATCGGCTGCATGCTTTGGTCTCTCTTTCACAGCATTATGCAAGACTACAAGTTGGTGCCCATGAAGGTGTTTTGCGCAACTGCAAAATATTTGGCGAAAAATCAACGCCTCGCCGAGGTGGAGCGTCTGCTGGACTGCATAGCCAGCAACAATGGCAGCAGCAGTGCTGCAGAGGCCGATGAGCTCCTATCAATTGCCGTCAATGCCGCTGTGCACAGCAATGAGCCAGAGACGAAGCAGATACTGGACAAGCTGGTCAAGCGTATTGGAAACGTGGAGCTTCGCATATCGTCGTACATATTCATAGGTCAACTAAAGTCCGCGTATTTGCTGGCCAACAAGCATGAGCGTCTGGCAGACATACGCAAGATCTTGCGGCAAGCAGAATTGACCAACCAAATACATATTAAGAAATTGTGCGAGAAAAAACTAAACATAAATTCAACTCCAATGTCGCCAACGCCACTGTGATAACATATTCAATCAGGCAATATATATTTTAATTTTATTATTGCTAGCTTTATTTAAATAATCTAGTTGTAGAACGATTGATTTTAAAACTTTCCAAAAGCCAATGCGTTGGTCAAGTATTTCTTACTCGTTGCTCAAAGACCTTCATACAAAGTACCAAATTATAATCATATATAAATATTGTCAATTTATTGTATTTACCATCTTATTGTAATAGTATGTGATTTTTATTGTTTATTAAATAAAAAACATTGTTATTCAAACCAAAAAAGTAAGCCACCAACACGTTGAACTTATTGAAATGCATCTTTTTGTATGTATATCGATAGCTGCGAAAGCCGATACCTCAGAGCTAATCGATAAGCATAATGTTTGTGTGTACATCGATAACTGAGACAGCTGAGTGCACCTGCTTATGGGAGATAAATTCAAGTTGCAGTATTGCACTTTAGAAAAACTTCAAACTTAATGCGGGCTGTAATCCAACGTGTCAGGGCCGCTAAGGTCACGGGTATGCTGCAAAATTCCTTTAATGTTGTCTGTTATATGTCTACTGTGATCCTCTTACAGTACTAGATGAACTAGTGTCGTCTATTGGACCTGGACTCTGTGTGCTGGTTGGCATTAAGTGTAGCGATACGACAACGGATGTAGAATACCTGTAGGTAAATATCTCATTAGGAGACAATATGTCAATTTTTGACTGAGACTTTAGCGTGCGTAAGATTCTCGCGTTACGGCTGTTCGAGGACGATGGAAAACGCTGGCAAAAATCTGTCAAGGATTTGCAGCTGGATATTCTATGCGTATCCCAATTCACACTGTACCATAGATTGAAGGGCAACAAGCCAGACTTCTCAGCTGCGATGAAGGGTGAAGATGCTAACCAGCTTTATAATCATTTTTTGGATCGGTTACGACAATCTTACGATGCGATCAAAATCCAAGGTAATCTTCCTCCAAATATCCGCCGGTTTGTTATTTTAATTGTTGCATTTTCCAATGTCAGATGGCAAGTTTGGCGCTTACATGCAAGTGCATATAGAGAATGATGGTCCGGTTACCATTGAGTTGGAGTCACCCCAGCCGAAGCATTCCGAGGAATGTGTGGATAAATAGAAGGTTTAGCTAACTTTTGTAATAAATGTATGTCAACAGATATGCACCACGGGATTTTTAACATTTATTCTCCGCAGTCACTTAAAACTAAACCTTAATTAAGATAGAATTCTTAAGATTCTAGCATCTCCAAGTCTCCCTCGCCAAGACCCTCTTCCAGCTTCTTTTCTAGTTCCCGTGCGTCGACATACGTAATCTTCTCCTCTGGCAGGTCTTCATCCATAAGTGCTGCCTCTTCGGCTTCTTCCTTGGCACGGCGCTCCTTCAAGCCTGCGGCCGGTGAACGTATAAGTGACATGTTGCGTTGCACGTCCTTCACGTCCATTTGGATCTCGACCTCGCGGCCCTTGCGTAGACGCTCCATAACAAAGTGATTCTCGCGACGCTGCTTAATCTCTGTAACCTTTTTGATAGCTCCAATGGCCTTCTGCCAAGTATCGCGATTATATTTGACGGGCACATTGCGACGTTTCTCGAACTCGAAGCTGGGATCAATGGTCAGCTCCTTGCCATGAGCCTTGCGATATGCCTTTGTCCATGCTACCTTGCGTGGGTTCTTCTTCTTTTTAAATGCCTTGTGACATTTTCCACGACAGAATTTGAAGATCTACGAATAGCAAAGGCAAACAGTATGTACATTAGTACCATGATATGTTTACGCATACAAATGGGAACGTTTCGGATTCAAATGGAAGAATTGGTACTTACCTTACAATCGTTGCGTACAAAATGTACTCCGTGCCCGGGATATATCTTGCTAGAGCAAAAATAGCACGTATCAATGCGCATCTTTACAAATTATGAAAATAACTTGTAAAAATAAAACGCAATGCTGACAACACGTGCGCTGCAAAGTAGGAATAACTGCAGAGCTGCAAATCGATATTTTTAGTGTTCGTTTAATATCGATAGCAATCTCGATTAAACATTTTGATTTTCCAAACATCCGTTACCTTAGCAATGCAGCGGATACCCGATAAAATTTATTTTCGTAAAACTCCCATTAATAGCTTCAAATTTTTCTTCGAAATTGGAGGCAGACCATAAGCTCATAAAATTATGGAGGGCAAATCGCATCAAAACGACTGTACAGCTTTAAATTAATTTGAAAAATTCTAAAAATAACGGCATAGTATTATAAGCCGTTAAAGCCTTTTTCATATTTAACTAGCTTTAAGATTTCTGTATATTTATCATATACATTCTTTTAAGAAATTATGTTGACATTATATTTACATATTTTCCATATAAAATATGTAAAAACTTTTTTCGCTATAAAATACGTAAAAAAAAAATTTTAAAATAATGTAGTTTAATTTTCATGTTACCCTGGAAAATATGAATATTTCGCTTTGTCAAAAGAGTTTCTTGGCATATTGTAGGTGTATGTATATATGAATGACTGCAATAATTGATATTCTAAAGCGAGAATACCTTAGAAGGTTTTATTGTTCAAAAATGTATTGATATTCTTATGACTTTTCAACGAAAACTATTATGGTAAGTTATACTTATAACTAAATGATCATCTCCTTTTACACGTGTGTAATATCGGACGCCGATTCTTGATCCTTTAGAGTTTGCTTCATATTGGCTACTTTGTTGAGTTTAGCAAGACGTTTTAATATTTCCATCTCTTTAATGAAGGTAGCAATTGATTCTTTGGTCGTTGACATATTTGCATCTTTCAGATCGGGCAAATTGTCTTCTTTTTCGAGTTCTGCAGATTATTTAAATAATTCAATTTAATTCAAAGTTATTGGTACTACTTATATAAAAATAATGCATACCATCAATTTCGGCTTCAATATCGTTGAGACGATTCATCAACAGTGATTGCTGCACCTTCACGTGCTCTATTAAACGGTATTGGCACTCTTCAGGATCAATTGCAGCTTCCGGTTGCGGCACATGCGGCCAATCTGTCTGTTCGGTTTTTGGGCGCTTGACAGGTGTAGTCGAGCTGTCAGCCTGATCTTCGTCCCATTTCTTGGCCCACAGATATAGTTTGGGGTGGCAGCGATTGCGAGCAATATTGATCTTGACCAACAAAGAATGCATGGAACGTTTAGCATCTAGTAAATTACCAGTAAGTGTGTGAGATCGCTTTAAGAGCTCGAACTTCTTAGGTGCCTGCGGATTGGGCGTATGATAGCCAGCCACTGGCAATTTACCCTCGAAGAGCCAGTCCTGATCGTGCTTAAAACGCATTGAATCGCGCACTCGCTGCGGATTGCGGCAAATATAGCAAACATATTTATCCGGTACGTCCGACTCCTTGACAATACCATTGCAGGCGCCGTGTTGCCAGCACAGGCACAGCTCACACTGTATCATCAGACCATCCTCTTCCCCATATTCGCAAATGCAATTAATAATCTCTTCCTGCCTCATACGTACAATACGTATCAGCTCGCCGTTCTCCTTAATGTACTGTGGCGTCTGGCTGGCCATTGGCGGCGGCGGTGGTGCCAGTGCTGCATTTATATCCACCTGATCGTTGGAGGACGGTGTTGACACCGGATCTATATGAGCTGGCGAACTAGCCGGCGTTCCTGAAACAGCTACGCGCCGCTTTTTAGCATCGTTACGAACCTCTGAAGTGGGCGTGTTGAAAGGCAGTCGTGTATCTTCAATATCTACGCCAGAGGTTGGCGAATTGTGCGTTTTGCTTGCCGCAGGCATTTTCCCGTGCGACACATTTGCATAGCGGCGCTGAGTCCGTTGCCGGCTGCTCTTACGGGATCCAGAGGACCGCTTACTAGAAGAAGGACGTGCACGTTTGGCTGAGCGATTGATTGTAGTCGGAACAACTGGTGTACTGGCTTTAGTGGGCTCCTGCGGAGTTGGAGTTGGCGCAACTTCAACTGGCGATGGCTCACTGGCCGGAGTTGCCGCAGTTTCTGGCGTGACACCTACTGCTACCGGATTCACATTTTTTGGTGTCGTTGGCGTGTCTGTTTTGGGCGATAGCAATCGATTGCTGGGCGAAACAGTTGGTGATGTATCACGATTCGTGGGAGATGTTTCGGTGCCAGCTGGTTGGCGTCGGAAGGAGCGGGATTGCTGTAAATCCTGTTGATGCAGCTTGGCAAAGAATTGCTGGTTGGGTATTTGGTTCTTTGGCGTCTGCTCGTTTTGGTCAATTGATGAGGGATGCGTACGCTTAACGGCCAGCTCCTGCATCTTTGGACAGTGGCTGACGTGCCTGTAAAATACAATAATAAACGAACAAACATTTATGTATCTTTCCTTAACTCACTGTGCGAATTCCTTATGGTAATGTCGTATGTGTATTTGCAGAAAGTCCTCCTTGCGATAGGTTTTGCCGCATCCTTCACGCGGACATACGAACAAATTGTCAGTTATCTGTACCTTCAATCCGCCAATGAACGCTGCAATATAAGGAAAAAATAGCTTAGTTATCTAGTAAACGTTTTGTTTTGTACAGACTACTGACCGTAACCATCTTCCACCAGCACGGCTCCTTGCTCATCCACGCCCAGCGCAGAGCTGGCTTCGGCCGCTTCAGCTGTGGGCGCCACCGTCTCACTGGCTTGGGCATGCGGCGATGGTGACATCAATTCGGCAGGTGGCACCAATGAGGCCACCGGTGTTTCCATATATTGACTATCCTCGCCAGCGCCGCGGCGTGTAGCCACCGCTGATATGGGAGTTGATGTGGATGTGGCGGTTGATGATAACTTGCTATTGTTTTGATCCTGCGCTGCTGCTGTGGTGTCCAGAGACACATCAAGTTGCTTCGGCTTGGCCGGCTGCTGTGGACTGTAGTCGTGCGTATAGACATATGCATTGATATCCTTAGCGCGTCGGCGATGTATACTAAAGTCATATACATCCGGATTGTAGACGAGGCCCTGTGACTCCAAAAACACCTTTAGATCGGATTTGGAGCGAAAACGCTTGCCACTGGGCGACACCAGAATGACATCCCACTTGCCTAGCACATTGGAGCGCTGATACATGTGCTTTATCCAGCCGGGCGGCAGTCGCCAGTCGTGCACAATTACAGTTGGCTTCTGGTGCTCTCCCACAATCAGAAAACCTTCGGTGCCAATTGGCTGATCATTCACCCAGTGGCAAGTCCATTCTCCATCGTGAGGTATATCGGGCAGTCCCAGAGCAGCTGCAAATGTACAAAAAAAGCAAGTTAAATATTTCTACGAATACTTTTGGCGACAATTACTAGAGCAGGAGAATTCCATTTATTTTGTCGCTTATTGCCAGTGTTGCCAAAACAAAAAAAGAAACTATTGTCAAGTTTCAGGGCCCACTGTCAACCGAAATGCAACACCACAAACGCAGCTGGCTCTATGCACAAAGTTTACACAAATTTTAAACAAAGTTTTCGTGACCACATAGTCAAATATGTAAACAGATATTTCTCAGCTCCATTTGCCCAACATTTTATATAAAATCGCCTTTTATAGAAAAATTCTACATTTTACCAAAGTAGATCTGAAAAAATAAATATAATTGTACACAAATATTTTATTGTATATGCAGACAACATTTTAAATCAAGAACAAGCTGTTAACGTATTAATTTTTTTTACGGCGTTGTAAGGAAACTTGGCCGATCTTTCGTTTGGGTGCTATATTTTAAACTGGTTACGTATTCGTGATTTTGGATGATTTTTTATTAAATAGTTTTACACAAATATTAGATCTGCAACCGATTGCTCGAGTGGCAGCTGCATTTAATGAGCCCATTTAATGGTTTCGAGATATTTAAGAAATACCTCTTAAATGTTGTCCAACTAACTTTGGCTTTGGGTCCTCTGTAATGATAATAAGTATCACAGACTATTCTGTTCGGAGACTTCCAACAATTCCAACTATCTTTTTGTCTGAAGAGATTTATTTGCCTACTTACTGAAATATTAAGCAATATACTAAATCTTAAGCTAGTGGCACGTATGATCAAACAATATATTTAATCTTTAGCCAATGAAAGTCATGATTTGAAGGCACATGCCGCTAAATGTAAATACATACTGTGTCAGGTTAGCTTTGTGAACATACCCAAATCCAAGTTGGACATATCCAGCAGTGGCCAGTCCTTGCGTTGAGGTGTCAACTTGCTCTTTTTGTTGCTGGTTACTGCAGCGCCTGTACTTGGCCTTTTGAGTGTCACCCCAGTTGGAGCGGTGGAATCTGTTATGGACGTTTCTGTGTCTGGCTCTGTGGTAGCTGCTGACAGCTGGCGGGGCAATTTGTTCATATGCACGGCACGCACGTTCTTTGTGTAGCCATCGTCGAACAGCACCTCGTACGTGTCGTTTCCCAGCAGTTTCTTGATGGTGCCAGGAAATTTTCGTGGTCCAGACCACCGTGCCATGCACTTCTCCTCTAGCTCGAAAATGGGTAGTACGCGTGAACTAATGCGCTGCCGCAAGCGCTCCGATTTGAAAGCGATCCATTCCTGGTAGCTGCCGCTTGTCGACGGCGACACCTTAAGCTTGCTGTTGCGTTCGAAGCGGATTAAGAGTGTCTGCTCCGATTCGTTGACTTCAACAATGCGTGCTGGTAGCCAGGCGCCATCGACGCTCAGCGCCTCTAGGCGGGCTCCAATTGTCATGTTTGTGGGCGAACCATATTTAGGTGGCGTGGCAGACAATGGTGAAGAGGTGCTGCTGCAAGCAGGCTGCACCGTTTCATTGGCCGAGTCTGTTGAACGGGCTGTTACTTCGGGTGCGGCATTATCTGCTGTGCTCTCAGCAGCGGGTGTGGCGATTGAGCTCGGAACGGATGCTTCCTTAGCTGCCTCTTTCTGGCCTCCTTCAGCCTCAGCTTCGGCTTTGGCGGCTGCATCTGCTGCAGCGGCTGCTGCTGCATTACGCTCAGCCGTTTCAGCCAATATTTGAGCAACAATTTGATCAACAGTTGCCTTAATGACGTCTTCGTTATTGGAACTGTTTGCAGCACCGCTAGCCCCCGCGCCATCCATAGTCGCCTGTTGCAGCGCACGATGATCGGCCTCAATCTCGGCGGGCTCCATTTTGCCCCATGGAAAAACGGTGGGAAAGACGCGCGGCTTCAGCAAGTACTTGCCATTGCGTATTGTATTAAAGTCGAGGCGTCGAAAGTGACGTGAGCACACAAGCACACTCTTCGTAATCTGGCGGTCCAAACTTATGCGCGAGTTTTTGATCCAAATGGCACGTATTACAGCGTCCATCGGAAACGAGTGGTAAGTGACGCCATGGTGTTCCACGAGACGCGACGTAGAGGGGCAATCAGCAACGCAGCAGCGGCGCCCCATTATGTTCTCTTTTTGTTTGCACTTGGAATATGGTCAACACAATTTACACCGATGCTGTTTCTCAGGTCGATTTCAGCGAAATACGCAATATTAACAGAACGTGTGCTCTCAAGTTTTCACTTTTGACTAGCTTACTGCGATTGTGCTCGAATGATACGTACACTTTTTTGTACAATTTTCATTTTGTAGCATTTATGTTAGACAATTAATTGACAGCACAGCTTGTTTTTGCGAGTAATAATAAATTTCGCCGTGAAAAATTTAATTTAATTGAAATAAATAAATCGTCCAAATAACCAAGCGAGTTGAAAGCACGATTAAAATGAGTAACAGTGTTGCCCCACAATATTTTGTGGAGGTCGGTTGATTACAATTTGTCAGTCTGTGGTAAATTTATTGCGAAGAGGGGAAGTGTCATAGCAATCAGCTTTGCCAAATGTTTCATATTTACTGAAGTTCAAACTGAAATTTCAGTTTCATGTTATTTAAGTTAAAAATAAAGTTTATCGGCATAATAATTTGAGTAAGTTGGTTAAATGTAACCTTTAGTGCTCCTGTATAGCGCACAATATGTTGTTTATTAATGTTAATTTTCTGGAAAGTGCAATTAAAAGGCACTTGCATGCGGTGCAGCATACAGAGTCGCATAAATATGTCCAGCGCATAAAATATCACGTGAATCAAGGCGCATTGTGCCGCCGCAAGGCCATTGAGTACCTATTTGAAATGCAAATATAGTTCGATTTTGGACTGCTATACGTTCACGTCCGCACTGAGGTGACACCTTGCAATAATACAATTCGGTTACACTCAACATAATGCCACAAAAACATGAATATGAAAGTATTTCGCAAGAGAGCCACTTGCACAGTCCCTGATATCAAATGCTTATTGTTTAATTGGCATTTGGAATTAAATAAAAACATTTTCCAAATCCATTACCATGCATACCACAACCACATATGCATGTATGTGTGCATGTGTGTACAGTAACACCGCCCGCTGACGAACCCTGGTCAGGTGCCAAAAAGTTCACTAGTGTCGATGCCACGCACATATAAAGTCAGCCTTGGCCTCCAAAACCAAATGTGTTTGCGGATAAAACGTTAACTAACATTTGGGTCTGACACATAACGAATCTAAAATAAAATAACACATTTCAAGAAAAATCTATGATTAGTGAAGAAAATGGTATTACATTTTAAGACTTATTCTATAGTATATTATTTCTTTTTTAGATTTGTTGATATTATAACGAACACTGGCATTCATACTAAATATGTAATAAAATAAAACGTTATTCATTCCTCTAAATCTATTAAAAGTTGCATTCGACAAAATTTGTAATCTAAAATTCTTGCTCTTGCCAATTCACAAAGTAGAGCCTAAGGTCATGCTCCAACCTACATTGTGTGAGTTCCCAAAATAAAAATTAGCATATGCTCAATGAGGTTTATAGAAGAGCCAAGAATAAACATTATAAGTTCCGAATCAAGCATAAGTACTCATTTGAAGTGCAATCACGGCGTGAACATAAAGCAAACTTTAATTATTATTTCTTTATAGGCATATGCCGCTGACATAAATAATAAGTAATTGGCGTTGTTGTTTCTATGTCCCATTCCGGCCAGTCAAATATGTGACATTGAGGGGGCCACGAGTTGGCCAAACAGACAAACTTATTTGGGGGAAATCCAAATGCGGGTTCATATTTTTACATAATAATTTCACCTGTTATGAGAAATGTTGAGCGCCTGCGCCCATTTCGTTAAACATTGACACAATCTATTCACACCTATGAAAATAGGTCGGTTGCACCTGCCATATTCACATTTTGTGCAAATATCTAGCAGATCTGGCAGCGTTCGCACTTATAATAAAAATAAAACAATATGCAATATGCAAACTGTGCACAAAAAAAAAATAAAATATAAAACAACGCAACGGCATCACTTTCTCCTTTAATAAGTACATATTTACATTTACCCAACTCATTGGTAAATTGGCCAGCCCAAGTGCCCGTCAGCGCTGCCGCCGACTGTATCGGGACACATTGCATAAATATGAGGTAATGTTTTAATAAGCAAACAAGATGAGCTTCAGCCTCAAAATCTGCACTGAAATATAGACACTTGGTGACACTCGGTGCCAGTTCCTTATCCCCCATTTGGCATGAAGTACGGAGAGATTTGGATACAAGGCCTGCTGGGAGCTATACAAAATCTAGAGATTTGGCGCATTACGAGCTTATCATTTTTTCTATTCTACTTCTCCCATTTCCATATAATCGATAAATATCGATTAAGATCGATTAAGATCCTGAAAATGTCATACATTTTATAAAATTTCAGACAGAGACTTGGATGAACGCCCACTTAGGAACTGCATATTCAACAAATTTTAAAGCTGTAATAGTAAACGTGTCACTTAATTTTTATTTTTATTTTTTTATTTTTTCTAAATCTAGTAACCACTTTACTGGCCCACCTAAGCAATTAAATGAAGATCATATAGTAAAGTTGACTGTAAGCAAACTTGAACTTCCTGTTGATCAACACAATGGCAATAAAAACCACTAAAAATTTGAGAAAATTATAGAAAAGAGCGCCATGAAATTTAAATACCCTCATAACTGTCATGATATAGGTTAATGTGATGTACCTAGGGCAGTCACTTTAGGTGTACTTCATGATAATGCACAGTAATGTCACGATGGTGTTAAGCGCATAATGTACTACGATTTGTTTTAAAAATGTATGCATAGTGCCCAGCACACTAACAAAGTACAAATACTGTTGGGATTATAATGTATTAAAAATATTTGACCAAAAATTCGGTCAGTTTGTTGGGAAAAGACGACGTGCTGACAATGACAGGCATTGCCTAAGATTTAGGGTAGACCATTGCACGTACAATTTTATTATTGCAATATTTTTGCCTTTCTCAATATGAACATACATGCAAACGTACATCATATTTATGAGCCGAAACTTTACGAGCGTAGACTAAAAAAAAACCTATTCTCTATGTAAACTACAAATAATATACAACCGTAAACTTATTTGAAATTATAATAAAAAAACTTAAAAAAATTAGCATACACAAATATTAATGTCTACTCAGGTTAAATATAATAAAAATAACTTTGTTTAACTAAAATAGCAAATTTCTAATGTCCATTTTTAATACAAATTTTAATTTAATAATATAATAATAATTTGTAATATATACAAATAAAAAGCAATAAAAAAAAAACAATATTCAATAAAGACTTATCATTAAGCAATTATTAATTTTTACAGTTAGAACTAATCATTTTTACAAATTCAGTAATTATTTTATATAAATATTTTGAATGGTTTTCATTTCATTTATTAATTTCTCCAACAAATGTAATGTGAAACTAATAATCAATAAGATGTCAAATAAATACTCGAAATTTTTGGGATTGTCCGTTGGGCGATGCTGCGTAGTTACATTTTGAATACTCTGAACATGTTTAAACATGGGCGTGGCATCCACAGCGCGGCATTTAGCGACGATTCCGAGATATTTGTAACGAGCACCTGCCCAGCTCAAAATAACTCTGACTGGGCTGTCCAGATCTGCAATGTTGATATATGGGATTACCATGTATACAAGGCAAATAGGGGCCAATGGGCGCCTGCATGCTTCACCGCACGTGTGCACTGAACATGTAAAAATGTCCAAAATAGGTACCAGAAAAACGTTAAAGAGAAAAAATGTAGCGTACTTTTTTTTGTTTTGTTTTACTGAAATACATGAATAAGTCCAAAAGGTACAACACTCTGTCGCGCCTCGGCCTGGGTCTGGGTCTTTAATTTGCTTTCGGCTGGTGAAATTTCGCCGTTGATGTACTCGTTGCTGTCGTTGTTTTTTCTTTGTCGTCACGCTGACCTTGATTTGCTGATGGAGATGGAGACGCGACTTGGGGCCACTGATGAGCCGGGGACTTGAGCTGAGCGAAAAAAAATGCAGTTGCCTGCGTCAGATTTACTTAATTTTTTTTATGCTTATGCAATACCACGTGCACACATAAATATGTAAATCTTCTGGTTGTTTATGGCCATTATGTAATGGCTAAAACACTTGTTTGCCGTTAAGTCAAATCGGTTGGGAGGTGTGCTTATTGTCATCAGTCAGTGCTCAAAAGCTCATAGATTGAAAGTTGAGAAGCTAATTGATGAGGGTGCCAAATATGATAACAATTGTATTTCCGTTCAATAAATGACTCAAAATCAGTCAAATGTTAAAAACAAAAAATTAGCTTAGAATTGCGTATTCTAATTTCAATTTATTTCTTTAGTTTTGTGCCTTTCCTCGTTGTTTTTTTTCATACCAAATGGCAAACATTTTTCTCTTTGCCTGTCTGTGTGTCTCCGATCTTAATATCGGTTTGGATATTTGCCTTTCCACTGTATCTATTCGATTTTATAGATTTCGAGGTTTGTTTTGCTTGTTAGTACATATGATGTCAAGACTTAAAAAGCTTCTTTAGTTATAGTTTAAGTGCCAAACTAATTTTCCAAATTTGCCATACATTTTTCACTTTTCCCTCTCTTTCAACAGATTTCTTAATTGTCTTTCTATACTGTTCTCATTATCTTAAATATCATAAATTAATTATCATAACATGAATAAGGGAGGTTAATTCCTATAGTAGAATAATTGGATAATTGAGGAAAAGAAAACGATAAACAAGTAAGAGGTTTAAGTCGGGAGCTCCCGACTAGGGAATACCCTGAACCCTCTTCTTCCAACATCAAATGCATATATATATATATTCTATTTTAGAAGCTAATTGTCAAGTTTGGTGACTCTAGCTCTTATTATTTACCAAAATTGCCCAAAAAACAGGATATCGATATTGATTTTTATCGATGGCTTGGAAACGGAGTAAGTTATCGTTTATCGGAAACAAACTCGATCTGCGGGGGCACTAGGAAGACCTACATCTAAATTTCAAGTCTCTAGCTCTTATAGGTTCTGAGATCCTTGCGTTCATACATACGGACGGACGGACGGACGGACGGACGGACGGACAGACGGACAGACAGACGGACATGGTTAGATCGACTCGGCTATTTATGCTGATCAAGAATATATATACTTTATGGGGTCGGAGATGCTTCCTTCTGCCTGTTACATACATTTGGTTTTCGCACAAATACAATATACCGTTATACCCATGTTTAATGGGTTCAGGGTATCAAAATTAGATTAATAATAAAACTAATATTTGTAACTCTTGTTACAAATCGAATAAATAAATCCAATAAAAAATAAATAGATTTCAGCTCAAAATATACGATGCGTGTCAATATAAATATTCATTACATTAGCTACAATATACCCTGAATTCAATGAGTGTAGGTAAACTCACTTTCTCAAGCACGTCTTCAACCCGCCCTTAATAGATATCCATAAATAAACCGACTACTTAGCAGCTGACTTCCTAATTGGAAAATGGCAAGGCCCGGGCTCTGGCGAACCTCAAGACTGGAAAAAAATGTGTCACCTGTGACTTTCAGCAAAATAAATTTGGTCAACAATTTAGGTTATGCAACGGCCAATGGCCAAGCCCAAGACAAAAGTACACGAACCGAGCACAGAAAGACATACCAGATCCACCAAAGAGTAAAGATATTTTGAAAACAAATACAAATGTAGAGCGGCAAAAGTAAAAATGCATTAAATTATGTAAAGTTAAGGAGACCAAAACAGATACAAGCGAAATTGCCATGCGCCTGATGATTTTCGAGACGTGTTCGTGTCGTGTCGTGTTTGTATAGCTAATTATGTAGATGGCTGGCAGTGGAGTCGAGTAAATAATAATAAAAAAAATGGCCAAGGCGCGTATTCGCACTGCTAAGTGGTGCAAAATGATGGACGCAGACGCATCTATTATGGCACCAGCGAGTGCTAGACACACGAGTACTTACGATCCCTGGAGAGGCCTAAAATGTTTGTCAATATGCAATCGACAAGTAACCGGCCACTTAAAATTCAGCATCGGCAGCGCAACAGCTCCAAAAATTCATTTTCATATGAAAAACCCAGCACAAAGTTGGGCTTAAGCCTAACACTACGATCGCAGCGACGAGTAGAGCACAAAAAACCAACAGCCGATGTCGAAGCCGAACCCGCAGCCGAAAGCGCAGACACAATGATCGACCCGCTCATATATAAGACCGGGTGTTACCAAAATATTTGTGTCATTGCAGTTTCATATACTCGTTCGGTCGGTTGTTGGTCTCCTCGTCGCGAACAAGCTCGAGAAAATTTTTGAGAAAACGAAAGTGCGTGGGTGTCAGTGCAAGAGTTCAATAAAAGAGAGTCTGAAAATGAAAGCGTTCATTGTTGCCAGTGTTTGTTTGTTCGGCCTATTGAGCCTGGGCTCGGCACAGTTCCAAAATGGACGTCTGGAGCCACCAAATCCGCAGCTATGCGCCCAGCGCATAATTCACGAGAAGACACCCGATGGCAAAGGGTGAGTTAATCACAAAGCTCGAATCTGAAAAATGTCCACTTATAGCTCCTTGCAGTGAATTAATACTAAATCACACTTAAACTTGTCCAACCCTCTAGCTACTTCTTCTCGTGGCGTGACCCACAATTGAAGGGCGTGGAGGAGGATTGGCTGACTGCCAGAAATTATTGTCGCAGACGCTGCATGGACTCGGTTTCGCTGGAGACCAGTCTGGAGAACGAATGGATCAAGCAACGAGTTGTAGGCGAAAATGTAAGTTTTATTAACTCATATAAATATGACAGCTTTGTTGGTCTTATCCTTAAAAACAAAACACTTAAGCTATTTTAAGCTTCTAAGCTTAACAGACTTTAAAAAAAAAAGAAGAAAAACATTTACATATGCATGTCATTGGTGCTGCCAATAAAATTTTAGCTTACAAGCGATTGATTAAAACTGAGAGTCAAATATACATATGTATATAAACAACCTCAACTGAATATAAATAAAGCTTTTGACACCTTTCTGCCAAAAAAAAAAAACAATAATAATAATCTGAAATATAAATAATACTACAAGTTTTAAATTTATAATTTGCGCCCAACAAAACTTGAAGAAATTGGAAATAATTTATGATGCTTTACGAGTTTAAATTTAATATCTAAGTCTTTCGTTTGATATTGTGTCACGTCTGTTTTGACAATTCACGCGCTTTCAAAGTGTGCGCAGTCACATGCAAATCTGGCTGAAAGTGTGCCAAAGTTGACGGAGTTCCAATTAAATGCGATTACACATAAATATATAATGGACAACCAAGTTCAATGTAAAGTTACATGAAAACTTTCTCAGTTGTTGTCGTATCACAGCGATTTATCTTTTTCTTTTGCTAGGCAATTTTGTTGCTGCTGATGTTGTTGTTGTTGTTATTATTACACTGCGCACACGATTTGTGTCTTATGCAACACAAAGACAGACTAGTGTCAAGTTAAATAGCTGTCTGTAACTCCAGTGGCTGCTGCTGACCAGCGACCGGCCGGCAGCGTCTCTGACTTACGTGAGAAAAAAATTGAAATAGTAATGAAAACGAAAGTGAGTGTGAAGAAACAGCCAAGGAAATATAATTTAACAATAACAAAAAATCAATATGCATATGTATAGTTAACAGCCCACAATAGTGCACAGCCATAGAAAAGAGGAAGTGTTGCGGTTTCCAGACGAATCATTGCCAATGCCAAAACGAAAGACTTAGGCAACAAACTTGCTGCTATTAACAGCTGGCTGTGGCTAAACCATAATTAAATTTGCAATTGTAAATCGAAGTTAAACACAATAACGAGTATTTAATGATAATATTAAGATAATGAATTTCACTTTTATTTGTTTGAGAAACTTCTTTGGATCGTGTTTAACTCTGTGCAACGCATACAATTACAAAGACTGTTGGTTTTCATATTAGGGTATTTCTTATAAATCAATTCACGAATGCGCTGATAAGCCTCTTAAGCTAATCGATTTTAAGGCTTATAATGCGCGCTCCACTTTTACTTTACATCGTATCAGATTAAAGAGCCAAACATTTCCCGTCACAAACTCAAATAAAGCAAGTGCATCTGTTAGCTTCCGCAATGCATTGATTGATTGAACCGAAAACAAATACAATGCTGGCGAGGCCCGCAGCAACAATAGAAAACAATTCCATGTCCATTAATTTGTAACTTTCCGCTCAATGGAGTTGTTCAAAGGGCAGCATCAAGCACTCAATGACGACAGGTGTATGTGTGTAAGTGTATATTGTGTGTGCACGTTAATGCCATATGTATGTATATACTATAAAAAATAAACAGTTTTATGGCCATTCGGGTGAAAGTGACTGATGAACATTGCGGTTGTTGTCGCTGTCCATGGCTCTCTTGTAATGTTGACAGCCGCTCAACGAAAACCGCCGCCAACGGGTGCGGCCACAAAGGGCGCGACTTGGAATGGGTTCGCTTTCAATGGCACCATTATAGCCGCTAGCTGGCTGTCTGACTAGCTTTGTTACAGGGCGTGCAGGCACATGCCTCAAGCTGGCAAAGCAGCAAATGTCGAAGCTTAAATTTCTACCAGCAACAATTGGTGCCAACGCATTTTCGTGCGTACAATAAAACAAACTAACGGAAAATTTGAATTCGAGCATGGGCAAGAGCAATGAACTTGAACTAGTCAAGTTTAGATCATGAGCTTTAAACCTAAAGCCCGTTTAGCCTTGCTTTGTAGCAGATTTTCTTATTTCTTATCCCTCTTAAATCTATTCTTCTTTGTTCAAAATAAGTTCGAGTTTTAACTCCTTCCGCATACTTTCTCAATTTGTAGTTATAGTTTACACTTTTCTACTTTCATTTGTGCGCACGTACTTAAAGCATTTTATTTTTGTTCTTGCAGGTGAAATATATCTGGACCAGCGGTCGCTTGTGCGATTTCAAGGGCTGTGAACGTCCCGATCTGCAGCCCACGAACATCAACGGTTGGTTCTGGACCGCTACTCTGCAGAAGTTGGCACCAACCACAGAGCGTTCCCAGGGCGATTGGTCACCCACCGGCGGCATTGGCCTGCCCCAGCCCGATAACCGTGAATTCAAACAAAACGGCGCACCCGAAAACTGTTTGGCCCTGCTGAACCAGTTCTACAATGATGGTGTCAACTGGCACGACGTGGCCTGCCACCACAAGAAGTCCTTCGTCTGCGAGGAGAACGATGCTCTGCTGAAGTATGTGCGCTACACAAATCCCAATCTGCGCATTTAAATCGCTCAAGCTCAGACGGAAGTAGCATCTGGAATTACGTGTGGAGTTAGAGCCTCGAGCAGCGACTCCAAATAAACCAAAAATGATATTTTATGTAGCTACTACATATATGCATATATATGTTTATGTGTATGTATGTGAATGTATGTGCTTCTGTGCGAACAGATGTGTTCGATTCGGTGCTGCTCATATACCTTTTGCTAGTTACTCTTTGAGTGTCTTTTAAACTTCCGACTATCCTGAATGTCTTACGTATTTTTGTAACCATTTTTCCAATCTCTGCGCTCTTTCTCATCAGTTAGATTAATTATTAATTTTGTATTAATTTATGATTCTTTAAATTATAATATAACATTCCAAACGACGTGAAAATTCAAATGCTTTTTATGGTCTTCTAATTCACTTATTTCGGGACAGCGGATATGAATATGTGATTTGGATTAAATTATGATTGTTCCTGAACTGATGCAATCAACTAAACCTCTGGATGACTCCTTACCAATTGGATTTGCTTACTTTGACAAGCCTCTTATTTAATTTAAAAGTTGTGCACAGTACATCAGTAATAAATTTAAAGTCAATTTCAAAACGCTGTTTTTTAAGAAGAATAAATCATTTATAAAATTTTGGTAGAACAAAAGTTGTTACAGGTTAACAATTATTCTTCTGAATTCCAATAAAAGCTAGCTTAACCAAAGTTGTATGGACATGGGAATATTTTTTTGTATGAAAAAATGCGCGGGTATCGTAGCCTTTAAGCTTGTGATACCTATCGATAGATCGCTAGCCAACGATAGTTGTCATATTTACGGAATATGTTTGGTATCGATACTTCATAGAATCGATGTCAATTGTACAACTGGCGTTGATGTTTATTGAATTTGCTGGTTGAATATGGATATTGGCGAACTGTTGGCATTTAAAGCAAGTATGTACAATGCAGGGATACGCAGCCAATTAACAGTTCTATTATGCATTGTTATATAACAACAGCCCGAGCAGACGCCGAAGCGACCACATGAAGACGACGATGATTTCGCGCTGCCAGAGCCGGCGACCAGCGATATTGGAAAACGGGGCGGCGGCGGCGGCGATGAAAAGGCTAAGCGAATGCGTCGCATTGCGGAGGCAAAGGAAACAGCCAACTACAAGAAGCCACATGACGGCACATCTGGATCAGGTTCAGCCGCGAGCAGCTCATTTGAATTTGATCCAGAGTTAACGGAGGAGGAACGTCTCAACATACTGAAATATGTGGAAAGCGAAGAGGCCGAGGGCGATGCGCTAGACGAGCAAGGCCTTAAAAAGCTCATACTCGTGTTCGAGAAGCGAAACCTGAAAAATCAAGAAATGCGCATAAAGTTCTCCGATAATCCGGAAAAATTCATGGACTCGGAACTTGATCTGCACACGGTAATACAGGAGCTAAAAGCAGTCGCCACAGTGCCAGATCTTTATCCGCTGCTCGTCGAGCTGCATGGTCTGCATAGTCTGCTCGAGCTGTTGGCACATCAAAACACAGACATTGCTGTTGCGGTCGTCGATCTGTTACAAGAGGTCACGGATGTAGATATTCTGGGTGAAAGCAGCGAGGGAGCAGAGGCGTTAATCGAGGCCTTGCGTAAGGAGCAAATCTGTGCCTTACTGGTCCAGAATCTAGACCGCCTTAACGAGCAGGTCAAGGAAGAAGCCGATGGCGTGCACAATACGCTCGCTATTGTTGAGAACTTGACCGAAATAGATAGCGAGTTTGTGCGCGAGGCAGCCACACAGGGTCTACTGGCTTGGTTACTTAAGCGGCTCAAGGGCAAATCACCCTTTGACCCAAACAAATTATACTGCAGCGAGATATTGTCCATACTGATACAGACAGAAAACGATAATCGTCTGCTGCTAGGCACACTGGACGGTGTGGACGTATTACTGCAGCAGCTAGCCGTATACAAGCGTCACGATCCGGCCAGCAACGAGGAGCAGGAGTATATGTCGAATCTGTTCAATTGTATGTGCTCGGCGCTAATGGCACGCGAGAACCGCGATAGATTCCTCAACGGTGAGGGTCTGCAGCTCATGAATCTGATGCTACGCGAAAAGAAAATGTCGCGTAATGGTTCCCTAAAGGTGCTCGATCATGCCATGGCCGGCCAGGATGGACGAGAGAATTGCAACAAGTTTGTTGAGATTCTTGGTCTACGCACCATTTTTCCGTTATTCATGAAAACGCCCAAGCGAAATAAGCAACGCCTTCTCTCCGTGGACGAGCACGAGGAGCATGTGTGCTCTGTGATTGCCTCTATGCTGCGCAACTGCAAGGGCACACAGCGTCAGCGTATGCTGGCCAAATTTACTGAGAACGATCACGAGAAGGTTGATCGCCTGCTGGAGCTACATCTCAAGTATTTGGCTAAGGTGGAGGCCATCGACAGAGAAATCGACCAGCAACCCAAGGTAAGCTTTAAATCCATAAGTTACTTTCGGTCTAAGCCAAATGGAATTTTGTAATATGTCAATTAGGCTGAAGGTCTTTGTCGTTCCGACCATAATATCACTTTGTTATTTAGGAATGCTTATTATTATTATTATTCAGTAGTAAAAATACTAATAATAAGAAGAAACCAATGTTTGGAAACAACTTAAAATACACAGGGAGTTAATGTATATGTTTTCCATCTATATTTCACCCATTTATAAAATCCACCAAGCGCACTCTACAATAATTTTAAAAGCATCTATAAATTGGTTGATTATAAAAACGTAACGTATAAAGAATATTAATAGATTATTATTCATTAGGATGCCAGCATTGACGAAGATGAAGAGGCCGAAAACAATTACATAAAGCGTTTAACAGGTGGTCTGTTTACGCTGCAGCGCATCGACTACATCCTGCTGGAGGTCAGTGCCACCACGGAAACGGTCAAGCAACGCGTCCTACAAATTCTTAACTTGCGGGGCGCCTCTATGAAGACAATTAGGAATATAATGCGAGGTAAGCACGCCCCGATATTAATACTATGGCAGATTTAATTTTTTTAACCTCTATTTGTAGAATACGCTGGCAATTTGGGGGACGGCGACACCGACTGGCGAGAACAGGAGCAGACACATATACTTTCTCTAGTAGATCGTTTCTGAAGCAGCTCTCTCCCCCTACAATGACCAGCTATTATAAAGAAATAACAATATAAATTAAACGTCCGTTGGCGGTTATCATATTAAAGAATTTGCCTATAATATATAGAAAATTTTGATTATATGATAATTTTGGAAAAATGAAACAAGTTAAATTTTTTAATTTGAATTTTTCACGCCTCTATCTATTGGCAGATTAAGGGTATTCGTCCGGTATATAATTCATGTTTTAAGAATTCTACTTTTAATTTTATTTCATCAGCTTCCCCCTGATTCCTTGATTATATTGAATGAAACTTGGCATGCAAATCGATTTTCATCGTTTTCAGTTTCTCCATCTTATTTCTTTTTATCGTTGCATTGGTCTTTCTTTTCTTCCTTTTTCTGATCTTTTTTGCATTCCCTATAGAATTTGTATATTAGTTGATGATATGATATAACATTTTGATAAAACGTTCGTTCATGTTAATTTCGTGAAATAAATAAAAAAAAAGTTTTGAGTTCGGGTTGTCAACGAATCAACATAAAATGGGGTTTAAAGAACAGAATTTACAAATAAAGTGCTACGGCTTTTTAAGATTATTGAATTTTAATTTAAAGCAAACTAATTTAAATTGCATAATACACGCCATACTACTTTATAAGCAGTTTGCATTTCAAATAAATTAAATGAGTTTTGCAAAAATCACTTTCGACGATAGGTTTATGTTTCAACTTTCGTGCAAATAACAATATATTTGTTTTTACGCTTATAATGTTTGACAAGTGCAAGAAACTTTTAGCTCTTAGGATTATTCGAAGTTATTAAATAATATTACGGCATGGTTTGTCACAACAACGATCGGAGTTTAACCTCAGCTTATGGTTTAACAGATTTTTGCAAAATGATTCAATTATTTTAATTCGACTAATCGAAATCAAATATTTCTAACTACTAAGCAGTTGTAGGTAGTTTTATATAAATTGTATCTAATTTTTTGAGTAGATGAGTGTTTTTGTGTTTATGTTGTCGTTTGTGTTATCCGTGGGCTTTATGGTTGACTTAGCCGTTTATTGGGTCGATCTACTTTTGTGCATCGGGGATCTCAAAGTTAACATCCATGTTCATTTCGCGTGCCAGCGAAACGATTTGCGCCAAATGCACAGCCAAATCGGCAGCCTTGTCCAAATCATCACGAGCCAAGATCTTCAAGCCCGATGAACGTATCAGTTCGCGAGCCTCCTTGACTTTGGTGCCCTACAAACGAATACACAAAGTACATCAGAAAATTGTACGTCCTCTTGGAACCAAATCGGGACACTTACCTGCAAACGCACGACAATTGGCAGGTTCAGATTCAGATCCTTCGCGGCCGCAATAATACCCTCAGCAATGACATCGCAACGCATAATACCACCGAAAATGTTCACCAATAAACACATGACTTTCTTGTCCGATGTAATAATCTTGAATGCCGCCTTGACAGCTTCTGCTGTGGCGCCACCGCCAACATCAAGGAAATTTGCCGGCTCACCGCCGTACAACTTGATGATATCCATCGTTGCCATGGCCAAGCCAGCACCATTCACCATGCAACCGATGGTACCATCAAGAGCAATGTAATTTAAATTGTATTTGGCCGCTTCAACCTCTTTGGGATCCTCCTGGGTCCAGTCGCGCATGCTGAACAGCTCCTTCTGACGGAACTCGGCATTGTCATCAAAACGCAATTTAGCATCGAGGGCGAAGACTAAAACGGGCAAAAAATTTATTTTAATCATCCAATTACATATGCTGTGTTAGTATGTGCAATACAACTTGTGTACTTATTAAATATGTTATAAAATAAAAGGGTTAAAGATTGCACGACTAGGATTGAGATCAACAAGGATCTCTCCTTGTCTAATTGGCCAGCATAATATAACCATATATGGGCAAAAACGTATTGTTGTCTTTTTGATAAATTATGTTAAGTTATAAAATTCAATTTTCCTATTTTGGAGTTGTAAAAACTTTATATATAGCCTAGATTAGGTTGTCGATGGGTGCGACACGCTTGAAGCCTCGATGTTCTGAAAAAATCCATTTTACTGGATGGAGATCCAAAAATCAGAAGGTGTTCCAGCTTGACGACTGGACGAATTTGGCGATTTTGCTTTAGATAGTTTGCTTAAATTTGTTGAGAAGGAATTTCCGAGAAATCTTCGGTTTCCCTTTTCTCTATGTTTGGCATCTATGAAATGTTTCCAATTTGAATAAGGAATCGAATTTCCACTTTTCTGTTGCGTAAACTATTTATTTGGGTCTATTGTTTTATTGCCTTTCATAAGGTTCTTTTCATATGTACTCGTGACTTCGGTAAAAAAGTGTCGTGTTTAGAAGATTTCAGCTAGCAAGCATATATTTAAAGTAGTACTTACAGCCTTTATAGACCCACATCGTGCAGCATTAGTATAGTAATTTCAATGAAGTAATCGTAATATGGATGTTAAATGAGTTAGTGGTTTAGGAAAGGCGACATAGGTTAAGCATGAAACACAACACTCGTTCAATAAAAACTTAACTTACAGCCAGTCATAGCATCTTCGGCATAGGGATTAATCTCAACCAAGAGCGCATCCTTCTTCACAAACAGCTTGTACAAGTTAAGAAGCATTTGGATATGTTCATCGGCAGAGCTCCCGCCCAGACCGACCTTATCAACAATTTTGCAGGCCTGCTCCTTGGTGAGACCCTTACCAATGTCGATCGGCTCGTAAATGATGGCCTCGGGATTTTCTTTGGCAACTTCTTCGATGTCAACGCCACCCTCCTTGGATGCAATCAGTACAGGGCCCTAAAACATAAGAACACTAATTAATACATTTATTTACCAAATTCTTGACTCGTTTTTGCACTTACATTGAAGGCGCGCTCCATCATTACGGAAAAATAAAACTCACGGCGGGGAAACTTTCGCTCGGCGACCATCACCTTCTTACAGATGCGGCCCGCTGCGCCCGTTTGTTTGGTGACTAGCAGCTGATCGATCATCTTGGTGGCATATTCCTCTGCAGATTCCGGACTGGGTAAGTTACAAGAGTTAGTATCACAAAATATACTAAAGTATATTCGTTTTCACCTGAAAACGACGCGAACGCCGCCCTTGAGGCCATTCTTGAAGGTACCTTTGCCACGACCACCGGCAAGAACCTGCGCCTTAAGCACCAGATTATCTGTTTTCAGCTTTTGCGCAATGTCATGGGCCTCCTTACCATTCTTGGCAACGGCAAACCTGAAAAGAAGCAATGAATCATCTGAAATGTTGGAATACTTGGAGCTTGTCCAACTTTTATGACCAAGTGTACAAAATCCAGCATATGGTTGTTGATAACGACATCTACGTCAACAGTTCTTATCAGCAAATAATTCAAAAACATATTTGTAAAATTGGACGTGTAAATGTGGATTTAATACAAATTTCTGTTACCCCAAGGTTACGCGGACTCATGTCAGGTACTTGTCAAAGTTCTATATATTTTAATTTTTTCTCTCCTGTCTTCTTATTAAATTATAATTATAGCTGAATGTTATCAACGAAACATCATCTGCTGATCTGTCGCTCTATTAATTTGCATTAAAGAAATGCAAATCATAATCTTGTTTGTTTTTTTTTTTATATAAATGACTGGAGCCAAAGTCCATGAAGCGGTCGCCGCAACATTTGCTGTACTTTGAACCGTTTATTTATTTATTTATTTATTTATTATTGTTTTTTGTGCACTTACCGAGGTGTTGGGATGCTACTTTCGTTGAGCAGAGTGTACGAGACATGCTCCTGCACATTAAGGTTTCTTAATTGCTGCAGCCCAATGGGGGTATAACTGAGGATCTGTAAGAGACAATTAAATCTTAAAGTAAGCAGAAAGTCACGAGGGTCTGATTGAAAAAAAAAAAAACGGGTTAACGCAATGACGCATTAAATGGGCAGGTATTTATGTTTGTAGGTCAAAAACAAAATTCGAATTTGCAAAAAAAAAATGGATTTAGAGCGACGCGTTGCGATGTTAATAAAAGCTAATTCGCATAGATTAAATTCTTAATTAGTGGGCTCGGCAACAGTTACCCATTGCCCCCCATTGATAAAAGAGATCAATGTTGCGGCTATTCCGTGTTCAAGGTCCCAATTGTATCTCACACAGTTAGGCGTTGCGTCACACACACGTATACATTGATCGAAAAGACCGCCAGTCAGGTGGCTCTTCTGTGCTTCGCTCTCCCGCATGAGAGCCGCATTCACCTTGTCATTTTGTTGTTGGTTCTTGTTGCTTTTTTGCAATTATGTAAATGTACCACGAAAAGTTGTGTATTTGGATACGTAGCACGAGACTCACCTTTGTAACTGTCTTGGGTTTTACTGATTCGATAAGGGTACCGCTTGCACGCGCCAAAAAAGAAGCCATTTTCGACTAAAATGTATAAAACTGATCTAAATTTGTTAGCACTTATTTCGACACAAATAAGCTACTTACTTCGCTCGCCTTCTAAGATGTATTCAACAAATTTGTTATCGATGTTGGTTTTAGTATTTTTGTATACGGGCACACTCGTCTAAACACTCGTAAGCAGCTGTTTGCGCTGTTGTGTCGATAGACTGACGGAATCGATATTTAACTGCGTAAAATCGAGACATTTTATTATAAGCAAATGTGATTTAAATTATAAAGAATAGTTGACGTACCATTGGTATAATTAATAGCTTAATGAAATTGTGTAGATCATGTGTGTTTAGGTGTTATTTAGCATTTATCGCATACTCCAGCTTATTTCCAATTACAGTAACGACTATCCGACTTATCGATATTTATAATAATGAAATCGGTAACTGTCTTGATGCGGACGCGCGAAACTATGGTTATAAATAAATGTATATAAATATAATCGCTGATAATCGCTTTAAGAAATTGGGATTTAAAATATCCAATTAAAGACGAGAGATGTAAAAAAACAATTACTGAGGTCTATGCTTCCTATGAATGCCAAGCAACGGAGTCAGAAGCACCCGCGACTCATATAGGTGTTCGTTACCTACGAAGACTAAAACGAATTATTACAAACAAATAATTGTATTATTAATTTATTTTTTATACCTTAAATATAGATTAAGTACACATAAAAATGGCTTATCAAAATGTTCACTGGCGCCAGGCGACTTACTACCCACTATATGCAATACCCTTACAAAATAATTCATCTCGCAACCCAACAATGGGCTGGTGTACATATGGCAATTGGAATTCCAGCCAAAGTGTGCAGTATACCCAAAGTGTACAAACAACGAATTTAAACTTAGCTGCCCAGATCAGTGGCTTGGAATGCCAACTGATATCGGAGCTGGATGCAAGAGGTAAGCAAGCAATCCAGCTGAAAACTGTTTTGCAGAGGGAGACGGACTTACTTGAAGAAAACAAAAAGCTGCTTACGGAAAAGACCAGACTGACGAATTCGCTAAAAGCTGCCAAAGATGAGCTGAGTGATTTCAAATCGCAACTGAAGCGGGAGTCAAATGCAAAAGCGGAACAAGCAATCCAGCTGAAAATAGTTTTACAGAATGAGCAGCATTTGGTTAGTGCTAACCAAAAGCTGATAGCGGCAAATGCTTTGTTGACGAATTCGCTGAATGCTATCAAAGACGACATAGCAGACAGTGTTAATGCCCAACTGAAATTCTCAAAGGTAATGTATGGACCATCCTTGCCTCAGCTCTATAATTCACTCGTCTGCAACCTCTTAGCTAGAAGACGAACTTGCCAAACTCAAGTGTGAGCTGGAGCAGAGCAACGCGCACGTGAATGCGCTGACTGCGGTCAACGAAATGCTTTTGAATGGCAACGAGAAGCGGGACGAGACCATTGCAAAATACAAGCGAAAGCTGCAGACATACATGAACTTCAGCTCATCATCTGATTGTGAATCGCTGCTAGAAAACAGTTCACTTTTACAAGTCAGATGCAACACTCCAAGTCCGAGACGCATTGGCTTTAAGGCATTGCATGCGCTCAGTTCTCTTGGAGCTGAGAACAGCATAGGTACGCAATGTACTTAAATTGATGAATACATTTATATATATATATATTTTTTTGAAAGGGCCTTGGTTATGTCTGCCCTGTGGCAGCAGTACGTCCCCCATTAATTTTTCATCGTACGCCGAGTTTCGGCGACATTTATCTGAGGTGCACAAGGAGCCCATTGATCCGGCTTTGTGTGAGCTATGCGGTTGGCGTTCTGGCAGCGATCGGGAGCTTCATTTTCATATGTTTAAAAATCATCAAATAGAATCCCTGTTCTACACATTTTCCAAGTCGGCGATCTTGGACAAGTGACAACAGGAATAACTTTTTTTAATTATTTAAAATTAATAAGTTCAAATTGATAGCCTTATGCTTAAAAAGTGTTTCTGTGTAGCCTTTTTTATACATTTTATGTAAGTGGAAGAAGTTGGCAAATATTTGACATCTACTTTTGTTTTTTAATATTTTGAAAATATGCCGGCAGCAGAAGCAAATGTAGAGCAATAACTTTTCCTATCTTATATTCTAAGTGAAACAAAATGCAAACACATGTAAACATAAAATAATTCGTTTGTTTAAAAAAAACAGCCATTGTTATTTAGAAGTAAGTAAGAAGTAATAAGGTTTGTGCAACCTTAATTATATAAGGAAAATACCACAGATCATTGAAGAAAAATAATGAAATGTTTAAACATTTAATGTTTACAAGTACCTCATATACGATTAATTGGAATTTGTTATCTGATCATTCAACATTACTAACAAATACATTACTTGGTTTTCTTAATTTTTGTTTTCATTTATTTTTTACATATTTTTTTTTGGATTTTACATAGCTTGTTATGGTTGGACATACAAAAAAAAAAAAGTTACATCATCACATACATTTAACATACATACAAGGAAATAAATAAGTTTATAATTATAATAGTGACGAATTTGTGTATATATCTTTGTACAAAGGCAACTATTTGAGTTCTCATTCTAGGAACGTACACTGCAAGAAAACACGCCGCCTTCGCGCGCACACTTATGGGCGTGCTAAATATACAGTGTACAAATTTAAATAAACTTCTAAGACGAAAACACGAAAATAAGGCAACTGTTTCACTTAAAATTGACCTAAACACAATTATAAAATCAACCGCGGTATTGATTTTGTGCAAGCCAGGCTATAAGTGAAGCAAATGCATTTTCATGACACCAACCAGGCACATGACTCAGATGTATATATACGCTGATGCACAGAGTAGATCAGATCTTATACATGAGCATGGGCAAAGCTGGCATAAGGAACAGAGAGTTGGGACACAGTCTATAGCAATTTCCATTGAGCTCTGTGCGTGCAACACTTGGAAAATGCTGGGAAACAATATTTAAGAAAATTACAAAAAATGTTGTTGTTACTTTTCGAATTTTGGCCAATGCTTTTGGGATAGCAGCAAAAGCTATTAGTCAAAATTCGAGATACAACAATAGAAAGCAATAGATAGAGTAGGGGAATCACAAAGAACACATAGAACATACGAACATGTAACATATTTATCACATAGAATTACAGACTAAAGACTAACACAGAACGAAACGCACATAAAACATATTAAAAATTAACATTCCAAATTCAATTTTTGGCTTAAAAACAAAAATTAGAGCAAACAGCGTGCCGTCAATTTTGAAATAGTTGTAAAACGTGTGCCTGGTGCCAGACCGGCACCACTCCTCCTCCAGTCCAGCTCTGCTCTAATAATACTCCAAGTTTTCTTCAATCATGTGCAGCACACGCTGCCGTCCGATTTTGTTCCAGAATACATACGGCTCAGATGAGCCCGTCACACTACGTGGCCCGCTGGAAAATGTATATAGAGTTATAGAAATTTATGCAATATAGTTTTTGATCAAGGCTGCAAGCCTGTAGCTAAACCTGTAGCTGAACCTTAACCTGCTACTTTCAGAACCCTAATCGAACTATTATTTATATTATGAAATGGTTCGGTACAAGAAATAAACTTTACTGCTTAAGCCTGGGTCCTATCTTCGGGAAAATTGAGTTGTAACAAGCAACAGGTTCGAGTCTCGGTTCATAGATGCGAAAAACAAGATTACGAACCGAACCATAGGGAAGGGAGTCGCTTGATTTGCAGCCCTGATATATATAGTATATATATACAGCGATATATCTAGCAACCTACTTCTGGAAGCAATCGAATCGAACGATGCCATTCTCATTGATCAGACATGAGTGTATATCAATCACTTTGAGATGTCGCCCCTCGCTGCGTATAAACTTGTTGAATCGGGACACCTTGTCGCATGTCTGCTTGTCGTGGCGACAGTTGGCCAGCGGTGCCAAGGTGGTCAGCACTGGCACAAATCTACGGCTGTGCATCTCCTTCACTAGCAGACGGAAATCGTGCTCGATCTGCACCAACGACCTGCCGCGCATTATGTCCTCGGAGCCGATGTTAACAATAATTTGTGTCATCTCGGGCAGCTCCACCAGGCGCAACCGCTGCCGTGCAGCACTTATGGTTTGTCCAGAGATGCACAGACCAGACTGCAGCACCTTTTCGACTGTAGAGGGGAGAGAGTAGCATAAGCAGAAATCAATTCCATGCCAAGCCTTGTACTTACACTTCTTGAAGCGGCATTTCAGCTCCATGCGCGCCAAATACAAGAAGAAGTCATCGCCCAGCAGTGGAAAATCCAATAGATATGCATCATAGTCCGAGTTGATCGTGAACATGGAGTCATGTTGCGTTGATGGACACGACAACGTTGTTGGCGTGGGCGTATATTCATGACGCCGCTTGTGCGCATACTCCTCCAGGTGTTTGGATGGATGATGCTCTGCCGGCAGTGCTGCTTGTAACTGTGCAGGATTCGAAGCGATGGAGTAGATGTTGTTCTTGGGAGCACTGAGCTGTGGGAGCTGATACTGATTGTTGCTGCAAAAGAAGTGCACAAACATGGTTTGATCAAATCAATATCTTTTAGATTAGCTCCAACTAATCCCATAGAGAATTAAATAAATATATTATGTGATTCGTTTTCATATGTTCAAAGTGAATGAAATCTAAATATCAATTGAATTCTTCACGTTCTCCTGTCAGCAAAGGTTGTTCTGTATAAACGCAAAATAATAAAAGGTGGCAACGCCAATCTTTTATCCGCTGGCAACCATTTACAAGGTGAGTTTTCCTCCATATTTGGACATTTTTTGTATAAAAAACTAATAGTATCTTTTAGGGGTTAAGTATTAGAAGAGTCAGTCATACATATTAATAATATGGCCGAGGTAAATGGTACAAATTGTTGGTATTGCCATATATATCTGCCAAGTATTCACAAGGCATTTTTAGAATAATCTAAAAACAAGTAAGAGGTTCTAGTCGGGAGTTCCCGACTAGGGCATACCCTGAACCCTCTTCTTCCAACATCAAATACATATATATATTCTATTTTAGAAGCTAATTGTCAAGTTTGGTGACTCTAGCTCTTATTATTTACCAAAATTGCCCAAAAAACAGGATATCGATATCGATCTATATCGATTGTTTGGAAACGGAGTAAGTTATCGATTATCGGAAACAAACTCGATCTGCGCGGGAGCTAGTAGCATCTACATCTAAAATTTCAAGTCTCTAGCTCTTATAGGTTCTGAGATCCTTGCGTTCATACATACGTACGGGCGGACGGACAGACAGACGGACGGACGGACGGGCATGGCTAGATCGATTTGGCTATTGATGCTGATCAAGAATATATATACTTTATGAGGTCGGAGATGCTTCCTTCTGCCTGTTACATACATTTGGATTTTGCACAAATACAATATACCCTTATACCCATTTTTAATGGGTTCAGGGTATAACAACAAAGTTGAATAAATAAAATAGATTAAGGAATATACATATGTATCATTATTATTTCTACATTTTAAGTTATTAACTCTTTTGATTTGTATCAAAGCAAGCACAAAGTGTGCGGAAAATGGGCGGAAAACTGTTGATTGCCAATTCATGATTTTCATTTGATCGCCTTTGAAGCTTCGATTTAAATTTTCATGCAAAATATAATTTGAGATGTGTTTCAATGGAGGACTCCTCTGAGGACTCCTCCAAGTACGGGTAAATTTTTAGCTGTAAATAGGTGAATGCTAGTATATCCTATATTTTAGGCCCAGCTGCCTAGTTTCTCCTAGTGGATACTACTTACAGATGCTTCCAGTTGTCCTGATAGACATCGTTGGGCAGCAGTGCAGCCGTGGCCAGGGGCTGCAGTTTGGCCAACTTGACGGCTGGAGGCTTCTCACTTGCATTTAGATTAAAGTTGAAGTGTTGAGGGATGCGCCGCTTGTACTGGGCGCGCCACAAACGTGGCGGCTCCTGTGCTTGGATTGGGTTGCTCACACTGTCGCGTTGTCGCTGCTGCAGGATCATCTCGTGCAGATGGCGAGTATGCTCGGTGGGCTTGATGTTGAAGATGCGCTTCCCAGACTCACAGCACTCTGCCGTGACATGCGGTATGGTAAGCAGAAAGTCCGTGATGTTGTCGTGCAGCGGAAATGCCGTGCCCGTCAATTGTCGATATTCCTCTGGAAACATGTCGAGCCGAAGGAAATTATTTAACTTTGGAATAAAACCAAAAACACATATAGATTGCCATTCCCGGTAAACGTGTTCTCTAGGTGTTAGTCTGCGGGTATCCCGGCTCTAATTTCTATGGATGTGGTATTGTCTTAGCCCATTGGGAACTATTCAGATTTCTGAGAGTGGAGAGGATGAGAAAGTATTTTGAAGTCGTTCGGGAAGCATTAAAAGCTTCGCCTATGCACTTGCTTTTAACATCCAAGAGGGGCGGCTTTTGCGAAAAATTTGAAATGTCCCAAATTATTTTCACAAAGATCTTTGAAATGCCAAGACCAGCTTTCCGCCGTTTTACCACTGTTGCGGGTGGAATATCTAAAGTCGAAACACGTATTCATTAGGTTCTTATGTAGGGACTTGACAATACGTTTGAAGCAAATCGGATAAGACTTAAGACTTCGCCTAAAGGTGCTCGAATGTCATTTCCACCGATGATGCTTGGATTCTACAAAAATTGTGAAACTCGTCTAAAATGATTTTTCGTAGATCTGTGGAAATGAATTTGTACGCAAAACGAAGACTAACAAATCTTTGATCCCCATTTATACTGGGAAGGAGCTTGGGGCTGTGCCTTGATCACCATTTAGTCAGTCAGGCAGTTAGTCAGGCAGTCAGTCAGTCAGGACAAACTGTTTTAGAGAGATTAAGGGAATTTGATTTTCGAAGCAAAACGTCAGAAATATATAGTATAAAAATAATCCAATAAAAATTTAAATAATAATATTAGAAAATTCACAAAAAGGCAATAAAAAACGGATGAAAAAAGTTAAAAATGAAAAACCGCATGTTAAAATTTATAATGTAGATTAATTCAACAGCAGGTGGGCCAGGCTGTTCACTTCGATTCAGACTTACTTTTGATGCTCGATATCGTGATACCATTCTGGGCATTAGCCAGCAGTATGGAGCGTATTTCAGTATCAATATCGGGGTACTCGTCGCGCACCCCAATATAGGTGTTGTCCATGATGGTCATGCTGGAGCTGGTGATACTTGCACTGGAGCTGTGTTTCGATATCAATGTTGATGAGAAGAGTCTTGCCACTATATGCAGCTGCTGCTCCTCCTGGCTAATGCACCTGCCAAGCACTGGCTGTTTTGCTGATGCCGCTGTTGCTGTTGTCCGAGCACTCGCCAAATTCTGGCGTGTTGTGAAAATCCTCTTGAACTTGCGCAAATAGCTAACTTTTTCGCTCAAAATAGAGCAGTCCGCGCGCACAAAAATGTTGTAGAACTGTTCACTGCCACGTTGTTTCTGCTGTTGGTGTTGGTGTTGGGGTTGCTGTTGCTGTTGCTTGGGCTGCTGCTGTTGGTGAAGTTTAAGCAGCTGCTGGCGCCACTGCTGAAAACACGTGGTCAGTTTTTTCTTCAATGCCGTCAGGCGCTGGTTGTAAGTGTTCGGCACGCTGTTGAATTCACTTCTGAATGTCGCCATCGCTGTGTCGAAAATGAGTTCGCCATTCGCTCTGCCATGTGCATTATCATTATTGTGCCCTCTCCATTCATCTTTCGGTGTGTGCGCGCTTTTGGAGACTTTTGCGCGCTGCAATAACTGCACTTTATCGGCCTGTGCGCTTTAACTCTTTGTGGCCATTGCATGCATTAGGGTGGTTCACTGTTTGAAATTAAATATGGGTTCGTAACATATATATGTAAGTAAATATAGGAAAAAGTGAGAGAAGAAGAAAATTTGACACTAAAAATATATTTGATTTTTTATTAAAAACAAGTGCCGCTTTAAAGGAATCAGCTGCGTGTGGAATTTTATGAGTTTTCTTCTCACCAAGATAGGCGCTTGGCAGCTGGTTTTTCCTTTTTCCCGGCAGATAAGCAATGCACGCGTATTAAGTAATTACGAAATAATAAACAAGAGGAAAATAACCACGTGCTGCGGCAATTTTGAAATTGACTACCGGATAATAAGATGCCTCACAACTCCCCAGATGATTATCGAACAACATTTCACCTGGTCGAAGTGGGGAAGTGGGGAAGTGGGCTGCAGGCACAAGACGACTTGCCTGAGGGTAAGCCGACAGCATTGATGGATGACCAGGACACCCCCCTCCCCCTCCCTCCGGCCGCTCTCGAACCAGGAAGCAGTAAGGAAGCGCAGCAGAAACAGCAGGCGGACGGGCGTGTGTGGCAGCGCTTTAAGCCCCTGGACCAAATCTCCTAATTGCTGAGGAAGCTGCAGAGACGTGACGAGGAATACCAAAACGGGCACCGGCCAAGTGGCATGTGGCCCATTTGATAACACTTGCCTCATGTTTGCTCTTCGAGTTTCACCAGCAAATAAAACCGATTTGTGTCCCACGGAGCCCACTTGGTTTTGGGGGGATATCTGAGGTTCGACAGTTAGATTGCAGTGTTTTTCAAGGGCGGATTCTGTTTGTCATGTTCGGCACTTTTACTTCAATTACCGATTGCATTACAAATCAAAAAACTGGAATAATATGTATGCCGCAGCCTTCCTTGTCTAGCAAAATGCATATCTGAAGCTTGAGACCCCGTATTTCAAATTTCTGTGGGTGCTAAGAGAAGTTCCTCCAGCTGGGATAAGAACTTAGGCGATTATAAAATGCATTCATCATACATCAATTTTTTAATGAAAAATCTCTGTTTGGAGTCATTATTAGAATTAACTTGTTTTATCAGTTTTTAAGTTAACTTATAGAATATAAGAGTATGTATCTTAAACAAACAAGAGTAACTAACTAACTATAAGATTTTCGCACAAGCCAACTTCTAGTGCTGCTTGACTTTCGAGCTCAAAAGAAGCATCTGTAAACATAACAGACTCTCAATCAATCAATCAATCAATTATTTGAATATGAAAATAATTAACTTTTAAGAAATCTTGTAGCTAAAACGAAATATTACTCTTTAAGAGCTTGCACTCAATATAATATAATATGTATAGGCGTTCTATCGTATGATTGTCACGTTCGAATCTATTGAGAAAATATTCGAATTTGGCACGTTCTCAGCGTATCGAATAGACGTATTATTTCATTTAAGCAGATAGATATGGAAAACATAAGAAAATGGTGTTTCGGTCTTTTTAAACAGAAACTAGTTCACAAAGAGGCCAATTTGCTGAGCAAGACTTTAATACTGCATTTCCCGAATATTTTGAATATTTTTCTAAGCAGCTGGCGGCCACCCACAATATGGCCAAAACAAATTTGAATGCAATATGGAGTTTGCACTTGCCACAAGCAATGCGATCAACTTGATGTTGCAATTGAAAATATTTCTACATTTATGTGGTTGTAACTTGCCGCCCTCTCCGAACAGGTCTGCCTCATAATTTATGCGAAAATGCGGCCTCGTGCAAAGTGTCGCCCATAAGTCGAGGCGGTTAATTTTCTGAGTCTCCACGCACTCTCGCAAATCTGTCAGTCCAGCCCAACGCAGACAATGTGTAAAACACTTTCAAAGACTCTTCAATCAGACCTAAATCAGCTTAGAGTCAGAGTAACTGAGTGAGTGATTGACAGGCTAACTGATTGATTGACTTACAGTTTGATCGACTGATTGACTAACTAACTGGTTGACTGACTGAGTGATTGACTGACTGATTGATTGAATGAGTGACTAGCTGGTTGACTGACTGATTGAATGACTAACTAGTTGACCGACTTATTGATCTAGTGATTGACTGACTAACAAATTGATTGAGTGTCTTGGCTATATCCTGACTTGCTGATTGACTGATTGATTTATTGGTTGACTGTTTGACCAACTGGCTAAATGACTCATTGATTAAATAACAACTTGACTGATTGATTCAATAGCTAACTGATGGACTGATTGAAAAGTTGAATAGCTGGTTGATTCACTGATCGACTGAGTGATTGACTGATTGATTGATTAACTGAGTGATTTGCTGGTTGACTGAGTGAAAGGCTAACTGGTTGACCGACTGAGTGACTAACTGACTGGTTGGCTGATTGATTGATAATTAATTGACTGACTGAAATTTACTACACTACACTACCAAAATTTCAGAAAGTTGTACTAACCTTGACTTTACAATTTCAGATTGTCTTTTTATGCCACTTGGTTCAGAAAGTTTCCGGCTCTCAAATTTTGCCAATCACTCGTTTCCTTTAATTATAATAAGGATAATTATCCTTATCCGTTTACTTGGCGGCTGAGCCAACATCTGTTACAATTCTCTGTTACGGAGCCCGGCAAAGGACCTAATCAGGCCAAAAGTGAACTCAAGTACGTGTAATTAGAGTCCTTTGTGTCCTTGGGCTCCGTTGAAAAAAATTATGTTTGCGTGAGTATTTCAGCTGGAAACGGCAAAGGACTTGCGATAAATCTTTAAGCATGTTAAATGTGTGTGTCTTGCAATTGATTTCTGCCTGGAAAGATATTGCTGTTAGTTGTTTTTATTATTGTATTGAAAAATTAATAAACAAAAGGTTTTATTCTTGTATGTATATTTAACAATATGGGAATTTTTAATTTTACCACTATTGTAAAATGTCCATTCTAAACATTTTACGTTGTAGTTATACAATTTCCCTATGTTATGCCCGTTTTCAGTTTACATTTTGATTACGATATACGAAAGACATGCAGTTTAACAGCGCAAAGGCAAATTCTTTGTTTTTGTTTTTTTTTTTTTCAAAGACAGAGAGTGAGAGAAGCAAAACAAATGTAATTATATTTTGTTTGACTTTGTTATTTCACACTCGCGCGCACATGGACACGCACACACACATGTCTAACACATACAACAATATTACACTGTTATCGCTTGCAATTGCAGCTGCAGGGCAATGCAAGAGAAACCAACCACATTTACTAGCAGAGAACAGTGGTCTGGCATGCCGGAGCGCAAGTGTAACTGAATATTTCTTATTACATATATAAGTTTCGGCATTCCTAAAATGTTTCATTTACACCATACCTAAGAAATTGAATTACTTATTTTTATGACTAATCTAAATCGATAAAAAAAGTTAGAAGATATTATTAAAGGTTTGAATTTGTCAGCAGTTCACACATATTGTGCCACTGTTCGTACGCGCTCTCTGTATTGTGCGGGCGTTTTACTCTCTCTCTCTCTCTCTCTCTCTCGCTCTCAGGTTAGGACTGTGTGAGACACTTCGTCGCTGTTTCAAGCCAGGCCGGTTTTTCAGTTACTTTCTGACTTTGTTGAACGAACGTTGTGCGAGCGGAGCAACGAATTAAACGGCGTAAGCGCCAGTAAATGGCGCGCGTTTGTGTTTTTTGCGTTTCGAATAACAACAATCAATATATGTTTAAAAAATATATAAATTCAAATAATAATAATACGAATATGCATGTTAATTAACAACAACAACAATAGTGAGAGTGTGTGTATATGTGTGTGAAATTGTTAAAGTGCAATACAGAAAAGTGCATTGTAAACAACAGCAACAGAAGATAAAGAAGCAAATCAAATAAAACGTCAAAATGACGCGCGAAGAAGAGGAAGAAGTGCGCTTGTTGCTGTCGCGTCACCAGGAACGCATTATGCTAGATCTGGGCAGCACAGATCTGCTGGCGGTGCTCGTCAAGAACTCGGTGCTCAGCCAGTCCGAGGAGGATCTGCTGCTCAAGCCTTATGCGGCAGCAGCTGCCGACACAGTAGCAGCGGCCGCTGCAGAGCCGGGCAGCGCACCCTCCAGCGTAGGTGCACTGACAAAGCGCAAGCTGAGCACCGTCGCCAGCAGCAGCAGCGGCAGCGGTAGCGGCGGCAGCGCCAGCGTCAGCGGCGTGGGCGGCGATTATAGTTCCAGCTTAGCCGGCTCCTCGCGCAGCGCAAGTGTCAACGGCGACCACGCTCAGAGCGACAATCGCTCACTAACGCCCTCTGTCGGCGGCGGGGTCAGCGGCAACGGCGGCGCAGCTACGGAAGCTCTCAACGACGCCGAAATTCTGCGGCTGCAGTGCGCCAACCTCATAGAGATCATCGCCAAAAGCGGCTTCGAGAAGTTCAAGCAGTTCTGTTACGCGATCGAGTGCGAGTGCCCGCAGCTGATTGAGGATTTAATTAACGATCGTCTCAAGAGCGGTAAGTGACTAAATTTCTAATAAACTGCGGACCCCCTCCGTCCACTTGGCCCAAGCATAGAACCTGTTCGGCAATCGCGTTGGCAGCTTCGGCATCGCGATATCGCCTCTAAATTATGCGCGTAATTGTGCTCGATCGGTTCTTAACTTTTTCCCGTCTCGGCTAATTGGTTATTTTTGTTTTTTTTTTTTCAATTATTTTTTATGCGCACACGGAATGCTGAATTGTAGGCGTGGGCGTGCCCGTTAACGGAGGCGTATTTATTGATATTATCTAAGATTATAAGACTTATAATTTTTGCTCTATGCTAATTTTGTTTATGAAGTGGGACAGGTGACATTTGACAACATTCTGTAGAGATCGTAGACTACCTGCGTTTTTATGGCCTTTAAATCGGCAGATAATAAATATGGAGATTAAGCATTTGCTAACAGAAGTCAAATGTGCTTGGTTTTTTGAAATAATAAACTTTAGTAGAATTAGAAGACGAATCTTAAAATTTTGTGCGATATTTGAAAGCTATTTCTTACATTTACTTAGTTTTTTGCAAAGTTACAAAATTCTAGACAGAGCCAATTATGTCTTTATTAAACTGTCCTAGTTATAAAAATATAATAATGTAAAT